TACACTCATGACTAACGTCGATCCCCTCGTTGTATTTTTTCTAATTTTGGACATTTTGGCTTTGGCGTTTCAGACCCATTTATATCCACCTTGTTTGGAGGTGTTTTCTTCTTCTTCCTTTTAGTAGACTTAAATTCCCTTTAAACTGCCGGAACTACGTCTTCTTTTCTGCTTCTCAGTGACAGCACGCCTTAACTGATTAGATCTTTTATTTCTCACTGTGGTGCTTCTCCTTTGCCTCATTCAGCTGGACCTACATAATTTTGAGGCTACCCTTTGTAGTCCTGTTTATATTCTTTTGAATGTCGCAAAACTTTGTCATCTTTGATACCTTTAACTTCATTTTGTCGAGGCAAGTTGCCTTCTCCTTTCTGAGCCGCAAGCATACTTCGCGAGTCCTATTTATTGCCTCATCGTCCACTTTCGAGTGGATAGCGCTATGTGCGGTCCGTCAGTTACTGCCACTTATCACACTCAGAAGACTGGACGCGCTTCATCTCCTCACTCTTTCTTCTTCCATGATGTTCTGTGGATCCAATCTCTCCATGATCACCCGTGGAACTGCAAGTAGTTGTGCGCTCTCACAATTCGTACACACTTGAGCACCAGTCTTAAGACGTGAGGTGCGATTTCCTGTTTCCGGCCAGACAATTTATCTTTTTGATCGACAATACACAAATTGAGCGCATGACTCCAAATTTTCAGTATGATCCATTGCAGTAAATGGCACAAAGTTATTCTATAATTTATGAATCTTTTAAACCTCTAGTGTTAACAGCCCTGTTATGATAAATTGTTTCCTAGCACCTACTTTGGCTAGTTTATCCGGTCTATCATTTCCAATGAATCCACTGTGACCAGGGATCCAGAGAAGAATAACGCTATTAACTAATTTCAGCTAGTCTATTAAGATGGCAGTCACTGACTAGCTGTGATGTAGCTACAAAGCGTTTCAAGGCAAAAACGCTGCCTTGTCAATTTGTCATCTAAGAGGATAAAAATATTAATATCTTGACAAATTTCTAAGACCTCAACAGCACCATAGAGTATTGCCATTATTTTAGATTGTAACACAGTAACAGTGGTCCCTAAATTAAAAGTTAAAAAAATCCGGTATTAAGTTAGTCCGATATTTTGAATTTTTGTAAAACTGACAACCTGATTTTTCTGAAAAATATTTTCAAAATTAATTAATTATAATTTTTAAATTATCAAAGAACTCATAAAAACTATGAATTTCGTTCTTAGTACAGTTATTGTTCGTAATATATTCATATCTTCTTTTTCAATACAACAGTCAAGGTTGCGAAAAAATTCTTTATTTAACTGCTTTAAAATTTTGACAATAAATAATTTATATTTTTTCTTTTAGATAATAAATGCGACGAAATATTTTGTGTTATTCTTTTAGACATATATTTTCTACGTTTTACATATTCGTATATTCATATATTGAAAAAAATTAAAGTAAACCCTCGGTTTAATATCTTCAATGCAAATTTCGAGAATTGTATTATTGTTATTAAATATATTATATATTTATTGTATTTTATAATAATTTTTAGAACAATTATTATGTAAACTTAAAAGTAAGAGCCATTCCAAATTGCAATGCATTTTATTATTAGTAAAGTCTTTATTTAATAATGTTTTCATATCTTCTTTCCCGATATCGCAGTAGCGTTTGCAAAAAAATACTTAATTTTACTGCTTTAAAATGTTGACCACAAGTTTTCTAGCTACATTTATTATATATTTTTTATTTGAATTATTACTCATTATCATTAATTACTAGAACTTTTCCTACTTTAATTAAACTATTTAAATGTTTTGTTTACTTTAAATTAACATTGACATTCAAAATTATCGAAATCTTTAATTCGTAATTGAAAAATAGAAATACTTGACTCATGACAATGAAGCAATGGCAAGTGTGATCGCCGATATTTTTAGCCAATAGCGAGCGTAATCATCGAATTTTAACCAATGACGAGCGTTATCATGTCATAAAGTAGCAGATTTCTTATGTAGGATCTTTAATCTTTTTCTTCCTATTCCCAAAACAATTTTTGTTTGACATTTGTAGCAACTCATCACACCTATCTTCATGACAGATTGGGCTTTTTTTCTTTTTATTTAGTTTAACTTTGTTTTTGTTATTTTAACATTTTTTGGTCATTCGAGCCGGATTCGGTATATTTAAGGGATTTGTAATGAGGTTTCAAAAATCACAACCACCTAACTGATTTGCTTGTCATATATCATTGGATTAGTTAGAAATGTCACAAAGTGGAGGTTCTTCTCAACAGCAGAAACGACCTGTACAAACTCATGTCCAGAGTATAATTGACACTTTAAAGCCCTGCTCCCATTATTCAGGACCTTTCTTTGATTTTTCCTGGCTGGTGACCACGACAGCGAGCTTTGCTCCTCACTTGTTTGGTCCAAAGACCGTCACCTACCTTCTTCCTGCTGGTACTGTAGAAACCTTCTCCAGGGCACCCAGTACGTCTTCTTTTTCTGTAAGGGCATCCATATCGCGGATTTCCAACGTAGATCGCCGGTCCGCCATCTGCACCTTACCTAGTGCTCCAATGACCCTTGTCACCTCCTCGGTGAACAACGGCTTATTTAAAGTCCCTCCAATTTTGATAAGAAGGTCTCCCTTTTTAGTGGGTAAAGCTCCCACAACCCATATCTTACTGGCCTCCAGGTCAGCCTCTTCAAGAACCTTCTACAGTACGTTCGAGAATGATGTTCCTTCAGCCACTTTGACGATCATTGTTGTTCGTTGTTGTGGCTGTCTTCTGCCCTTGACTGAATTTGACTTTGGTGCCGACTTGGTACCCTTGCCTTCAGTCCTTTTAGGAGGCCCCTTCTCCTTCTTCGTCTTTGTGTCCACAAACTCTGGACCATTTATCTTCCGCTTTTGACTCTCCAAGACAACGTTTCTTAGCATTGCTGAGTTGAAACGGTCACGTCTCATCCTTCGGTCCTTGCGTGCTTCTTCTGACCAGGTTAATCCCTGGTAGAACTTCACCGCACCCAAAGTACGCAGCCGATCTATCTATCTCTTCCTGATTAGGCATGATATAAAAACCATTTTTATGCATCCCAATTTTTCTAGCCTTCGAGCCTTATCGAAGCTCTTGACAAACAGCTAGCTTCATGCCACACTTGTTGGGCCCTAAGATCGTCACTTTTCTAACCACTGATGGTGGTCCTAAAATTCTGCACCAATGCTTCAACTTCGTCTTTCTTGCAATCCAAATTGTAAATCTCTAAAAACTTTTCGACTCGCAGGCTGCACCTTATGAAGTTCACCAACAATTTTTGTCACCTCGTCGGTGAATAACTCGTTATTGAAAGACCCTCCAATTTTTAAAATATGATCTCCTTTCGTAAAGGGCATTACCCCCATAGCTTTCATCTGACTGGATTCCAGGTTTGCTTTTATTCGAAGCTTCCCAAGCACTTCCTCATAGCTGATGCCTTTGGTCACCTTCACAATCTGTTAGATTTTGTACTTAAATTTTTAATAAATCTGTTTTACTGCAGTAAGATGAACACCCCCTACTCTTATACCCTAACTGAAAAGCCAAATAGTGTAACACAATCATTTCAGATTATCGCTGAAATCTTTTTTCCTATCTTAGCACTACTTCTTTTGATCCTTTTCTGAGACTCAAGAACACCGTTTCTTAACGCAATTGTGTTGAATTTTTCTCTCCCGAGTCTCCTATCCTAAAGTGTCTCTTCTGCCCTGACCAATCCTTGATAGGGACGTTCATCTTTTTCCTTTGCTTCTACATGCTTGGATCTTACTTTCTGTATGAGCGACGTTAGACTTTTACGTCCCTCCTTGATTGTCATGTTGACATTATTTTGCACTTTGCAGAACTTCAGCACCTTACTGACCTCCTCAGTGATTCTATCAATTCATGATACTTTTTGATTCCACAGATTAATGCACCGTTCTCTGTCCTCGTTGCAGCTTGCGATGTCAAGTTCAGATGCATTGCTGAAAACAGACTTGCAACTGTCCTGACTTTAAAAGTTACCCTTTTTAGATCGTATATAATACGGTGGGTTTTCGAAAGCCTCTAGGGCCTTCTTCTGACTATCATGAATATTTGTGATAATGAAGAACCTAATGATCTTGTCCTTAAGTACCAAGGATCCATTAACCTTTAGTTAAAGACTGGTTGAAGTCATTAGCCAAAAATAAATCAATGACCACGAAAATCTTGACGGAAATAAAAGTAATGGTTCATCATTTGTTCATCCTCAAATTCAAAATTCCTCTGATGATTTCTTTCTGATGAAAATTTGGAAAATACGTGCAGCTCGCCTACTAATATTGATAATCAAAATTTAACTGATACGCAGTTTGATCCTGAAGAAATATGTACTAAAAATATCAGAAAAAGGAAGAGAAATACTAGGGAATGGAAAGTTAATGCTGACAAACGAAAATTAAATTCTGGTTTAGCGAGTGAAACAAAAAGTGTAAAGCCAATCAAACAAAAGGCTCTGGGCCCTTTATGTCAATGTAGATCGAAATGTGCAGATAAAATTACAAATGATAAACGTCTACAAATTTTCACTTTTCGGAATTTACAAGACCGTACTTGTCAATGGGTTTATTTAGCTAAAATCTCATAATAAACGTTATTTAAACTCAGAAATTGATACCTGACGAATTCCAATTTTGTTTCAATAATTCAATAAGACTTCTGGATCTATCTACTCTCGATTCTAAAGGGTTCAAATAAAATATAGTAATATTTATTTATTAATAAATGTTATTATTTCATTATTAGTTATTAAAGAATTTATTTTTTTTAAATTTACACAAAGTTTTACTGCTTTACAATTTCTAACATAAAAAATATATATTTGATTAGAAAATTCTTTAAAGTTTTGTTTGTTTTCCCCAATATGATAAAAAAATAAAAAATTTTCAAATGTTAAATATTAAGAGCTTTGGGATACATTCACAACTCTTTTCATGTAGATTAAGAACAATAAATTAATGTTATTGCTAGCAATAAAATGGGTATATACAAATGTTTAAATATGCCTAAGTTTTCTATTTGATATTAGTACCAGCAAATTTTCCAGAAGGTGAACTACAAAATATTTTATTATATATTTCAGTTAAAAAATGACATTTTATTATTGATCATTATTCGTATTATTAATTTCAATTATTATTTTACTATTACTAATTGCATTATTATTACTGTTATTGTTATAAATTATTATGTACGAATTAAAGTAAGTTATATTATTAAATATGTAATATTTTCATAGGTTAACGTATTTTCAATTCATATTTGTTCATTCGACAATTAAAGAATGTTCCGGTTCATAAGTCTCTTTGTGCTCTTATTTTGCATTTTATTTGTTACTGATGGTTTTCTGTTTCATCGAAAGAAATCAAATGTAAGTATAAATATCTATATATCGTCAAATGAAATTCATAAATTGTTTTCGATTAGTAATTATAAATTAAATAGAATATTAAACATTAAAATGATATTTTATTATTTCATAGTAATATTATATTATTTTTCATTTTTGAGAAAAAATGTTATAATGTTTGTAAAGCAGAAGCTCCTTTGTACCTGGCGGAAAACATCCTGTCAGGTAAAGGGGATTCTACTAAATACATTCTTTTGAAACAAATCAGTAAGCATCAGAATTCACGGCGAATTCATCCAAAAGTTAATTCATTTCTTTTAGTTTAATTATATTCTTTAGTGGGATAATAATTGTATTGAACTTCTTACAATATTTGGAAATATTATCTGGCTATTTCTAATTTTTGTAATCTTTTATAGAGTCTAATACATAAAGAGCATGAACCTAGCGAAACTGAAAAAGATGTAAGCAATATGATAATTGATTTAATATTTACATTTAATTTATTTAAATTATGTAATTTGATTCGTTGCTAATATCTATGTTAATAAATATTAATAAATTTATATTTACTACTTAATTTATTATTTAGTAATAATTATCTAAATACTCTCTAAATCTGAATGTATGAATTTTCACCTATTCAGATTAGCGGGACATTTGAGCTCAATGTCAACTTTGCCCGGCAATTTTGAGACAATATATTGTCTTAAAAAATTAACTTTCAATAAAATAAATATTATCATAGACTTAAAAAATTTAGATATATCATGTTGAATTTTAAAATAATTATAAACAATTTATATTATTTTAGAGCGGTTCATTCCTTAAGCGCAGCGAGTTTGCTAGAAGCAGTGGAAGGGTAGGAAATAAGAAAATTAAATTAATTTTCAAAACACATAGAAATTAAGTTTTATGCATCAATTATAACATTTTATTATATATGTAGAGAATGCTGAATTCGAAAACAATTATTAATAATTTATATTATTCTAGAGCGGTGGATCGTTTAAGCGCAGCGACTCTGGCAGAGGCAGTGGAAGGGTACGGAATAATAAATTAAATTTTCAAAACAAGCAGACATTTTATTTTGTGTATCAATTATAACATTGTATGATATATTGTAAAGAATTATAAATTTGAAAAAATTGTTAATAATTTATATTATTCCAGAGCGATGAATCGTTTGAGCGCAGCGACCCTGTTAGAAGTAGCGGCAGGGTAGGAAATAATGCAATAACATTAATTTTCAAATTACGTAGAAATTACGGTTTTTAGTATTAATTATAATATTGTATTGTATTATATTTGTAGAAAATTTTGAATACAAAAATAATAATTATTAATTTATATTATTCTAGAGCGATGAATCGTTTGAGCGCAGCGACTCTGGTAGAGGCAGTGGAAGGGTAAGAAATAATAAAATAAAATTTATTTATTTACTCTCCCTGCAATGGGCAGGGTTCGAGACTCCCAAGTACATACACAAGTCAACTTATTCTATATAAATGCCAAATTTCTTAAACTATAACGCCGCTAATATCCCACATCAATAACTTAACCTATTCGCATCTCACTCATCCTCTCAAAATTTGCCAGTGCCAGGGCAAATTATATAGATAAAATGCTGAATTCGAAAATAATTATTAATAATTTCTATTAATCTAGAGCGGTGAATCGTTTGAGAGCAGCGACTCTGGCAGAGGTAGTGGAAGGGTAGGAAATAATAAAATTAATTAAATTTAAAAAAAAAATCTTTGTGCTTGATAAAAATTAAAAGTAGTCACTGTCGTATGCATTTTCTTCTGGAATGACTCAATCGTAAATATTTAATATTTTATTTTACATTATTCTAGAGACCAAATATATTTCCAAGATTGCGTCCTAACAGAGGAACTCCAAAGGTACGCAAAGTTTTTTAACTTTTTCACACTTTTTTACAATTACATTATTTAACAATTCCACAATTTTCATATTTTTGTTACCAGCATCTTCGTCCAGCTTCTTATAGTGCCGATGATGAATTCTACGTCTTAAAGGACCCACAAGGAGGAAAGTTTAAACAATTGTAATCAGCAATTAATAAATTCTGAATTTTTTGCTATAACTTGTAAAACATATTATAAGAGAAAAAAATTACAACTAATGTTTTAAATTTTCAAAAATCTAAAAGGTATGTCCTACACGGAAAAAAATTTGCGGACTACAGAAAGACTTCAGAGTTCCATAGTCAGGAGCTCAGTTGTACAAAGACAGTAGTACAAAATGCTGTTATAATGCACCTCTGGAGTCCCTAAATTTTTTCCGTGTGTAGCTATGTAAGTAATTTTGACACCATGAAATAAAACATTACTATGTTTTGAATAAAGCAATGTTTAAAAAAATATGACTTTTTATTTGATACCTTTTTAAAAACTACAGTATTTACATAGCTTTGGTTGATTATCGAGAAGGGTGTATCAATAGGGGAGATTGGGGAATTGTGGTCCATCTCCATTATTTAATAATATTTATAAGTTTGATCATCCATTTTTTTTATTTTCTTTTGTTCGTCCAAAATAAATTTCATGAGTGAAAATTTTAATGACAATTTTATTTTTTTTTCATGACTAAGAAAAGTGATAATACTTTTCTATTTTTACTTTTGCACATATCGTTTCTACTCTTCATAGAATCAAACTGTAGACAGAATTTAGTTAATAATTGATGTGTTAACTCATGTTAACTCAATTAAGAACTTCAATTTTTTAAAGTTTATTTGAATATCAGATAAAAGTAGATCTTTCGATTTTTCGATGGATTATCTGTCAATAATGAGAAAAATATTTAGCATTTTATTTCTATTTGTCATAATTTTGTGTATTCAAAAAAATTTTGCATTCATTGGACTTATTATGAAAGTTATCGTAAGTTACAAAGCAATTAATGTTTTTGTGTATTAAAATATAAATATAATGTTGAATTAATTTACTTAAAAACTTCAGTAAAGTGTTCATTTTACGTTGCTATAGAAAATACCTTTTTCAATAATTAAAAGTGTTGGTAAAATGTTTCTTGGATCCATGATTAGTGGTAGTGGCGATGATGATGATGATTAATGATGAACACTATGGTTTCACTACAATAATGGTAAACATATTTCATAAAATATCTTATTATTTTAAATTTTATTTTATAATATTTACACTTATGGAATCAAATAATAAGTTCAATAATAAATACATTTGTTTTACTATTAGTAAATTTGTAAAACGTAGCAAATATTCTTTAGATTTACAAAATAATTTAAATATTTTAACGTTTTATGCGTTCTCTTTACAGAAATGAAAACTATGCAAAAGGAAATAATCATTTTAATCTTTTGTTTTTAATAATTGTGAACATTGTATTTCCTTATTTTCAATAAAGAATGAAAACATTAAAATACTATTTTTAGTACCTAATTTTATTTCATGAAGATTTTTATTAAAATTATTTTAACTAAAAAACTAGAAGTTATTAAACGTTAATAATAATTTGTTTATTTAATTACATACACTGATTTTAAGGCACATTTAAAAATTGTAAAGAAATAAAAACATTATGCAAGTTAAAATTTTGTTTAAAATATTTTTAATCATTTTTTTATCATTAACCATCGCGAAGTAAGTTTAAGGAGATTCCAGTGATAATCAAATTTCCGGATGTGACTAGGACGTCTGTAGGATATCCTTGAATATCCGTTTCTGTTAGGATCGCTAATAGTCGGTCCCAGTACTGAAATACCCAGTGAAAGTAATTCCGATCGAGTGTGACAATTACCAGCCGATTAGAAAAGTGCTTCTCTTTCTAACATCTAAGCTGACCTCAGCTGACATAAAGGTAAATTGATCAGAAACTTCTTTATTTCTTTTTTGATTTTCTATATGTCACGTCATCGCGACGCACTTATATTTATATTAAAATTTTTTGTAAAAGTTAAAAATAACTGAATCCTTGTTCTCTCGAAATCTAAACCATATTGATCCAATGTCAATATGACAATCAAGGATGGACTTGAAAGCATGACATCGCTCACACAGGAGATCAAGGAGAAGCACGCAGCAGCTACGAAAAAGGATGAGAGTTTTTACCAGGGATTGATCTAGTCGGAGGAGGCCAGACAGGATTGTAGAGTTAGACAAGATCGTTGTAACGCAATCGTGTTGAGAAACGTCGTCTTAGATGCTCAGAAGCGAAAGTGATCCTGAGCTTGCGAAGGACTCAAAAAGGAAGGAGAAGGGACCTCCTGAAAGGTCCAAAGGCAAGGAGACCAAAACGGAACAAAAGCCGAATTCAGATAAGAAGGGAAGAGCCACAGTGGTCGTTAAAGGGGCTGAAGGAGCAACCTTCGCTGAAGTGCTGGCAAAGGTTAGAAAGGTGGCCGACCTGGAGGCCAGCCAGACAAGGGTTGTGGGAGCTTTACCCACTAAAAAAGGAGACCTCCTCATTAAAATTAGGGGGTATTCAAACAAGAAGTTGTTCACCAAAGAGGTGACAAAAGTTATCGGTGACCTAAGTAAGGTACAGATGGTGAACCGGCAAACTGTGCTGGAGATCCGCGACATGGACACTCTTACCGAACAGGAGGATGTCAAGGAGGCCCTAGACAAACTATCTATGGTGCCAGCAGGAAGGTGACAGTCCTCGGACCAAATAAGCGAGGTTTTAATCTTGCTGTCGTGGTCACCTCCCAAGAGGACGCTAACAAGCTGGAGAAGATAGGGCACATTAAAATCGGTTTTGTGACCTGCAGAATTAGTAGGAGAGTGATGGTCACAGGTGCCTTGACTATGGCTATATAGGCAGAGATTGACAAACGGTAGATAGGTCGGCTACGTGCTTCAAGTGCGGAGAAGCCGCCCATAAGGCAGCAGATTGTAAGAAGAGCCCATGCTGCTTCTTATACAAGGCGAAGTTCTGCGAAAAGGAAAACATCCAACACGTCGCTGGATCAGGAAGATGGAGAGTCTTCAAAACTGCCCTCGAGGAAGCAAAGAAGACTCTGTCAAGGACAAGGAGGAAATAAGGCCAGAATAAGAGCGGCACGGAAGAGTCGCGTGAACGACATAATGGGACCTTCACCCCACGAAGTTCGAAGCCAATAGGTAGTTCCGTGGGTTGAAGAATAGTCCAGATTAAGGCGGGAAAAAAACCATATTGATCCAAGTGTTAACCCGGATTAGCAGTTACCAAATATGGTCATCGGTGTTTTGCTACCCTTCCACTGGGTCCTCACCTGCTGGATACAGGACTTAAAAATTTAATCAATAAATGCGTCTTAACCCAAAAAGTAATAAAAGTGGGTGGTTATCCCTTGCAAAGGAATAGTACAAAAGGGGACACCCTTGCCGAATTAGTCAGTCCAGAAGTCACCCTCAAATCAGAAACCTGCGTTCTTCGTCAGTCCAGGAATCGCCATCAAGTTAAGTAGTCGTGTGCTACCCCCATGTATCTTCTTCGTGTCAGTCCAGAAACCGCGACCAAGTTAACAAGTTGTGTATTGTCATCGAGTTTATTCTACGACTCCAGTTCCAAAAATCTCTTTAAGTATCAAGTGCAATTCAAGTCTTAATCAAGTTCATTTAAGGAGAATTCATTCGAGGAGATAATTTCTAATGCGAGGCACATTTTTATTTTACTAAGGACTGCATTATTTCGACTTCAACGCCAAATAAATAATTCGACACCTGGACTTCAGACCTTTCACTTTGGCTGGCTTGAAAACAATTCAAGGGAAATCTTCTGCATATTCTGTTTCCTCTAGACAACGTCATTTCTTCGACCTCACTCTGAAGGAGGTATTACATGTTGGGCCTACGAGTCTAAGAATAATATTAAAAGCTTACAATTAGTTACTAATACTCTTAAATTTTGACCTCATTTAAATTCTTGATTGATCCCACAAGGTTCTAATTTTTGTTTCAGTATCCCTGAAGACATCTAGATCTACTCTTTCTTTCTCATTCTAATTGTAAAGGATTCAAATAAAAACTTTAATAATTTAACTTCAATTCAACAGTTACTCTTTCTTAAAGCCTGTCCCTTAATATCAGAGCCATCCGCTCTGTGAATAAATCAGGTTTGAATCACCGATGCCGAACAAATTAAATATTTAAATTATGATTATGTTTATTTTTCCTCTGAGACATAACAATATTATTGTTAACCACCTTAAAGAATTTGTCATTGGTTAGTTAAACTAACAAATGACAAATTTTTTAAGGGTATTTCATTAGATGTTAAATAAATAGATCCATATATTTTAAATTCGATAATTAATAAATCAGTTTCGATGTGAATTATTTATGCAGCCTTCAGGTTGCTTATACACTCACTCCACACGCAATGTGAGTAAATCTAGGCATAAATACAGAAACCTCATTTCCTCGCGGTTGCGCATTGTTCCCATAGCTCAACACCGGGAGTATTGGTTAAACATACAACCTTAGTAACTAGATTGAATCTACAGAACTAAGTTCAATCAGTCGAAGAAATTCAAAAACAAAATAAATCTTTTCCCATACAAAATCTTTCTCTTTAATAAAATATCCAATAACTAATTTATATAACTAGAGTAAAAATTGATCAAAAGCAATATGAATCGTGTTCTAGAATTGGTAACAGAAGTAAGTATAATTTCGAGCACGTGGTCAAGTGTTACTACTAGATGCAATTTGTAGAGGCAAGCAGAGGCAAGTTTCTCCTACGAGAGTTATTCAATGTCAAGTGAGTAGATTACCTGCAAGTTCATTGCTTATATGTTCGCAACCCTTTCACTCGGCACAGCTGATCGATCATCACAAAGAAGACCGGTAGATTACCAACTAAAGCGAATCGGAGATTCATGTATCTGTTTATCAGCACGAAAGTACTGCTATATAAGAGGGAACGGTATATACGCAAATGATTTACGATCCATCCAATAAGAGAGTATGGTGGTGTGTCGATGTAAATATGCTGAACAACATCTTCAACTTAGTATAGTGAGCTTCCTAGGTCAACGTACCTTCGACCAGAGTACTAAGCAGGGCCGCATGTCGTTAGGGTGGATTTTCCAAATTTTTCATATGCAGAATATTATTCGAAATTTTATACTTTTTAATTTATTTATAAGTTTCCATAATTATAAATTAAATTAATTTATTTCTTTAATGTACATTGAAGAAATGAAATTTTTATTGAATGGTATATGTAAATTAGAAATGTAAGTGTAAATTTTCGGTACAGTAGTTTATAGGTCACGAGTACTAAGTGCACAAAGTATATTTTTGCTTTTCATGCAGTGATATAATTCGATACCTGTTTATCAATTATAAAACCACCAACGACAGGTATAAGATTACACATCTTGTTCATACATGTAGAGATCTATCATCGACGAGGCGCTCGCACGGCGCTCGGTTGTCTACGATTTTAATTTCTCCTTAAGGACTATATAACTACTCTGAGTACTCAGATAAATGCGGTTACATAACTTAATTAGACTTCAACATTAAATTTTAATCGGAAGTCTAATTTATATTCTCTTTGATGGTAAATCAAATATGAGCATTTTATTGTATTTTCTGACTGCTCCCATCTTTATATAAATTTTTTTTAACCTAATTCAGTTTCAGTATATTTTCCTCTTTGAATTTTCAGTACGCAATACGCTACACAGTGGTCTGAAATCCTAATTTAAAACTACATGAATTTTTGATCAACTACAGTCAACTAATAAACCTCATTATTCATAAACATAATTGAATAAATTATCAAATTATGTCTAATATAATAAATACTTAAACACATAATCTGTAGAATTTTAATTATTTATTTAAAAGTTCATTCGATATTTCAGATTTGCCATTTTCAATTTAAAAAATCTGACTTAATATTTGCACTCAGCAAGAAAAAAAATCTTTGAATACCATGTTTTATTAAAATCGAATAATTTTTTCAAATTACTGTCCGCCAAATTGGATCCGCCATTCGGAATTTTTGAAAACTGACCTCAGATTCGTAATCAGCGACCAAAAAAACCTTTAAATGCTATGTTCTATTAAAATTTATTAATTTTCAAAACCTTCTGTCAGCCATATTGGATCCGCCATTTAGAATTTTTGAAAACAGACCTTAGATTTGTAATCAGCGACCCAAAAATTCTTCAAGTACTAAGTTTAATTAAAATCCATTAACTTTTTAAACTTTCCGTCCGCCATATTGGATCCGCCATTTTGAAATTTAAAAAAAACTTCAGATTCTTAATCAGCGACCTTGAAAACCTTTAAATACCATGTTTCATGAAAATCCATTAATTTTTTAACTTTCTGTCCGCCATATTTGATCCGCCATTTTGAATGTTTTAAAACTAACCTCAGATTCGTAATCAGCGACCCTAAACATCCTCGTGTAACAAGTTTCATAAAAATTCATCGATGCAATTTGGAGGAAACAGTTTTTTTTCATCAACCTGACCAGCTTATAATAGCTCGTAAAAAACCCTTTAAAAATCACTAATCATACTTTTAATTTGATTAATTTTACTTATCAATATATTAAATCGAAAAAAAGATATTTTCAAAAAAGGCAAAATTTTAAAACACCATAAATCAAAAAATATTTTATTAAAAAAAAAAATTATATTTACACTTCTACTAATAATAGAAACATTTCAGCAAAGTTTCTCATAAAAATTAATTTTTTGACCTGGGCTGTTGAGGAATTTTGCCTCATATATATCAGCGATTTTTAATTTATAAAATATTTTTTTTAAACAAATTGATATTTTTAATATGGGCATGATTAATTTTAATTTTTTCTTTATTTATTTATACTTGATATTATAGAGAAAATTTTCCAAACAGCTGATTTTGAAAATTTTTTTAAACTCTTTAAACTCAAACTGTCCATCTAGGAACTTTTTCAAAAATTTTCTCCATATTATCCGGAATAAATAAATAAAGGAACAATTAAAATTACTTATGCCCACCTTAAAAAAATTAATTTGTTTATAAAAAATAATTTTTTTAAATTAGAAATTGAAAAACTTCTTACATTACTTAAAAGTTGAAGAAAAAATCAAATTTTTTTCCTTTGACAATTTTTTTTCTAAATTCAATATTTTCAAACATATAAGTTACTGAGAATAGGTCTGTCTACTTTTAAAAATCTAAAATTTCGAAAATTGATCTGTAAAATTTGCGCAATTATACAAAAATAAAAGATACGTACATATATCATACTTTTTTTTATAAAGAACGAGAAAAAAACAAGTTTAAACGATTTTAAAATGTAATAAAAAAATCACGTGGAATTTTGTTTAATTAATTAAATTAAAAATTTTTGTTTAAACAAAATCGGTCATCAAAATAATAAAACATTAAAGTCAACGATAACTCCGAGTGAAAGTAAAATAACAAAATAATTCTTTTCAAAATCTGTTCTACATTGTAATAGGGTTCTTATTATAATAATTCAATTTCAAATTCTACTGACCAGAATTTAGGAAAATTACAAATTTTTATTGCAATATTTCGTTAGCCTTTAGTATCAATTTTCTTCTAACTAATGTAATAAAGGAGCTATTTTTTTTTTAATAAAAACAAGATTCGACACACATCACGCTTCAGTGAATACTCCGGAAAATAACTCAATATCGGAAGAGTCTCGATATCCGACCTGTTTTTGAAAATAGTCCTTTTTAAAAACACGACAGTCGGATATCGAAATTTCTACTTCTTTATAAAATATAATGTTTCTTCAATTTTTATGTTCATTTAAAGTATTAAATTTAATCTAATAAAAATTAAATACTAAATTTGAATAAAATACAAATAGGTAATAATGGAAATAATTCATTTTCAATATTTAAAGTATTTTTTCTTGTCCATTAAAATTTATAAAAAAAAGTCTTTTCTTTTTTACAAAAAAAATATATATAAACATTTTTTTTTAGTATTTCATATATTATTGATGGTGATTCTACAACAACTTTTTTATTCGTCGATTTATGTTATCAAAGTTATTAATATTAACGGTTTGATAAATAAAAGAATTTTGAAAATCGTGACATTCATGTATATTCTTGATGCTAGATTATCGACACAGCAATATATAGCTCAAAGCGTGTGTAATTTAAAACTCGGAAGATAAATAGATTATACGGTAATACACTGATGGTTGATAATTTATTAACAATTAATAATAAATAAATATTTACATTTTCCGATAGAAGATTGTAAATTAATTATTGAGTAATTCAATAATTAGTATTTGTTTATAATATTTCGGAATATTTAATTATTTTATTTATTTACTGTTTAAACAAGCTTGCAAATGAAATACAATTTTTTAAATTGTTAGAAATAAATTGTTTATTGAAATTATTGGTGTTTTTAAAATTACTACTTTTAATTACTGCTATTAATATAAGTAAATAATTATTACTATTATTTATTCTTTCAGTACTGAAAGTATTTTATTAAAAAATATTTTAATGAAAAATTGCAAATACCAAAAGATTTATTAGATTTAAATAGAAATTACTTGATTCAAGTAAATATTTATTTGGTTTTTAAAATGAAAGTACAATTTAATTTATTTTAATTTGTAGTATGGTAATTAATAAATTTATTTACTTAATAATTCATCAAACGAATTATTTAATTTTTAAAACCAATTAATTTGATTGAAACGAATAAATAAATTTATTTATTACTATCGAGGAGTAACAATATATATAGTAAAATTATAATTATTTTTTAGTTCTATTTAAGAATTGAAAAATAAAAGTATAAAATTAAGAGTTATATTTTAATTGCTTCAATCAATTCAGATTTAGTATCAATTTTATAAATAAGAAAGCGCGTGCGCACGAAATTCTTACGAGCACGTGTTAAGTCTATAATAAGTGATTGTTTTATTATCCTATAAAAACATAGGGAGAAGGAGAGAAGAGAGATAGACGGAGAGTACGATAAGGTCGGGAATCAGAATAAATAATTATGTACCATAATTAGCTTCTCAAGTGTTTCACTACGAATAGTAAATTGCTTTGTAATATTTGCTTACAATGCACAAGTGAATTTTTTATAACAAAATTTTTGTGTTTGAATCTAAGACGTGTTTTTATTTTTATATCATGTTAAAAATTTATTGTCCTCTGTGTTATCGAAATATTTGTAAAAATGGCCTTGTAGCGCATCTAATTGAATTTACAATTCCGAATTTCAAAAGATTAAAAGGTAAATAAAAATTTTTTTTATGAATTTGTTTTAATTTTCCACTTGTGATTTTGAAAAGAGAAAATAACTTTCAGAAATTGTGTTGTTTTTATCTTCTTTTAGTTTATTTTAATACAATCAGCAATAATTAAAAATTATCAAAAAATTTACTATTGTTTTTTAAATTATTTTTTTTATAATTCCTATTCTTAATCTCTTTTTTATCACTGTTATAATATTTCTAATCAAAACAAAATTAAGTTCATTTATTTTAAAATCACAATAAGTTTTTTAAAACATTTTTTAAATAAAAACTTATTTATGTGTTAACCCATTTTTAACCAATCTTTCTAATGACATTCTAAAAAAAACTTTGTTTTATAAATAAACAAATTACACACAGTTTTTTTTTAAATAACACAATTTTTTAGGTTTTTTTCTCATTTTTCTAATGTTAGTAATCAGTTTTTTAAAATTTAAAATGGCGGATCCAATATGGCGAACAAAATCGAATACGGTAAATAAAATTATTAAAAACTAATTGTAATTACTTGAAAATTGTTATCAGGAGTTTTTGAGGTCGCTGAATACGAATCCAAAGTCAGATTTCAAAAATTCAAAATGGCGGATCCAATATGGCTGACAAAATTTTCGAAAATCATTAGATTCGCTTGAAAATTATTCTCAGCGGTTTTTTGGGATCGCTGATTATGAATCCAAAGTCAGATTTTGCCAGCCATATTGGATCCGCCATTTTGAATTTTTGAAATCTGTCTTTGGTTTCGTAATCGGCGACCTATAAACCGTCAAGAAACAAATTTCAAGCGAATCTAATGATTTTTAAGAATAACATCCGCCATATTGGATCCGCCATTTTGAATTTTTGAAGCCTGACTCCGTATTCGTATTCAGCGACCTCAAAAACACTTCAATGCAATTTTTATAAATATCTATTAAGTTTTACTATTTTTGTTCATGGTGCTATGGTATTGGTAATAAAAATTTCTTATTTTGTTATTGAATTTTGATTATTTTTTAATCAATTAATAAAAGTTAACGACATTATAATTTTTTACTTGAGTTTAAACTCTTACTTTGGTAAAAAAAAAGGTGAAAAAAAAATTAACGGAAAAAAATTATTTCAGCGTTAAATAAGTGAGCGAGGATATTGAACCAAGATGTTAAAAGGGTTTGAAGATGACGCAGGCGCAAAATTGCACCAATTCACTTCTAGTCAGAAGCTGCGCAATTTTGCACGCGTCTGGATAAATCGTTGGAGGGTGTTTTATGCGGGAGATGCTGCAAATCACCTGAGTATAACACCACCACCACCGTCACTACCTGTGATGGGTAACCTGCAAAGTGATGGCAAGAAAAAACAACGAAAATCAAAAGACTCCAGTGCCATCCTCGATGAAACAGCAGGAACTCCAATTCAATCATCAAATGTTAAAATCTCCCTTGACAAAGTTCGCACACCTGTCAAGAGGCCAGCACCAAAGCCACCACCTATTATCAAGGTGAGTTTTTGCAAAAATTTTTTTAAAATACATTTTTTCTTCTCAAATATCTAATAACATTTATTTAATAATTTATTTATTAATTTTACACTGAAAATAAAATTTTATTTTATCCAAATAACCGATTAGTTGTCTATTATCAAATAATTATTTATTTGAATCAAATAAATTTTTAGTTTTATGAGTTACCTCTAAATTTACCAAATTATTTACTAAATTCCAGTGTTTGAATTTTGTATCAAGTGATTACCAAAGACTTCAAAGTGACTCATTCTGACTTTAAAAAGTGATTTTTGGAGACTCATAACGCTTGCACTAAGATAACTCATAAATAATCTTGAGTCACTACAGTTAAAGTGATGATTATTATTCCTAAGCGACTCTTGAAGATTAATATCTTAAATAGTTGCTTAGGAATTATAATCCTTTGAATTGATTATGAATTAATTACTAAATTACAAAATTGTATTTCAAATCAAATAATTCAGAGGAACAATTTAACAAAGTGATACATTTTTTAATTTTAAGTTACTCATACTTATATTAAAGTAATTATTTGGTGACTCATAACTGTACTATTTTGATAATTCACAAATACTCCTAAGTAAATCTAGAGGAAATGAATCATAAATCAATCATTTAAGAGTTTATACCAGAATTTTATGAGTCTCTTGAAGTTTATTACAAATAAATTACTGGGTCCCTATGATTATATTTTGAAGCAAGTAATTCCTAGAAACAATAAAGTCAAATTCTGACTCACAAGTGACTCAAGCTTATTCCAAAGTAATTTTTTCTAACTCATAACACAAATACTATAAAAATTATAAGTTATTTAATCATAATTAAAGTGAGTTTTAAAAAAGTGAATCAAGAGTCACCAAGAGTCACAAAAGATTTATTTTTAATGCTCTATGAGTTCTCTTGGTTAACATTGAATAGTTATATTTTGTGACTCATAAAACTAACACTATGAGAACTCATAAGATTCTCAAGTGATTTTTGAAAAAAGTAAATTATAAATCACCAGAAGCTGTTTAAGAGTTATTTATGAGTTTTCTTAGAATCATTACAGAATTAATTACAAGATTCCACTGATTGAATTTTGAATCAAGGGTTGTGAAAGTACAAGGAGTTAACTCATATGAGTAACCATAACTCATAAAGATTCTTATGTGACTTCTAAAGAAGTGAATTCGAAATCAGTTTCAGAAATCAATTCGACTTATTTTGGCACCTAATTATAATCGCTTACTACTTTCAGAATAATTATTGACGACTCATAATTTTAGTACTTTAACAAGAGTTAGTCAAGAGTCTCTATGAGTTACAGTAATACATAGAATTAATATAACTCATAAAATCTTTAAAGTAATTCCTGAAAAAGTAAATAATAAATCTCGAATTGAATTTTTGATTCTTTTGATTGTATTTTGAACGAGATTTTGAATCAAATGACTCGCAGAAACTCAAAGTGACTCATGCGAATTCCAATATGATTTTTAGCAACTCATAACAATATTTCAGAAATTTATAAAGATTCTTAAGTATTTTCTGAAAAATTCAAACTCAAATAATTTAGATCTAGATGTTTTGAATTCATATAAACGTTTCTGGTCGCTTAAGAGGATTCATCAGTCTACTTATGAGTCTCTTTGAATCCATTACGAATTAGTTACTAAATTCAAGTAATTCTATTTTTTCAACCCAGAAACTTCTAAATTATTTATTCTCACTCCTAATTCTAATAATAAGTCTCTCCTGATAATTTCATGGAATTTATTTGTGACTCATAAATTGATCTCTACGATAACTCATAAAGTCTTTTGAATGACTGTAGGTAAACTAATAAAAAAATTACGATAACTCATAAAGACTTTTGAGTGGTTGTAGTTAAACTCATAGAAAACACCAAAAGTTGTTATGAGTTATTGTAGTTCTTAGGAATATTTATTAGTCATTTATGAGTCTTTTGGATAATTAAGAATAAATTACTAAAATCCTGTGCTTTTTTATTCAAGTAATTAGCAGACAAAGTGACTCATGAAAATTCTAAAGTGACTTTTAGTGACTTTTATTTCTAGCACCATGATAACTCATAAAGACTCATAAAGACTTCTGGGAAAATAAATCATAAATTACCAAAAATTGCTTAAGCGATATTAAGAGTTTTTTTATGAGTCTATTCGTCATGTAATTTTTTTTGCAACTCATTCTGATTCCTTTCTTTTAATAATTTCAAAGTAATTTTTAATGATTCATAACTGTAATATTGCGATAACTCATAAAAAAAACCTTAAATATTAATTAATATTAAAAATTTACAAAACAAAATTCAACAAATCGCTTTTTTTATAAAGTCAAAAAATATATTAATGTAAAAAAGGTAACAAAAATTAAAAATTTTTAAAAACTGTTGAATATGTTTTCTTAATAGTCAACTAATGATTTTTATAAATATTTTCAATTTTACAGCTAAATAAATTAAAAATTTTAGTTTGAGTTCACATGGTCTAACACAATTAATATTTGATTTTTTTTAGATGTTAAAATTTTATTTTATCTTAAGAATGTCTAATTTGTTTTAAATAATTTAAATACGTTGATCAAGTATTTTTAATAGATTAAAATGAAAATAAATAAGTACTAATAAATAAATGGGTTAAAAACTGATATGACTTTATAACATTAAATAGAAACGATTGAGAAATATTTAAAAAGAAATTTCGTTTTTCACGAAAGTTTTCGAATTTTATCTCTTCACTAGATGTACATATTTTTATTTAAAAAGAAATAAATTTTATAACCGTCACCAAATATATCTTTTACAATTCATTGAAATACCGTTTAAAAATGTCCGATTGAAGTAAAAGAAATTTATCAAAAATACTGTTAGATCGAAAAAAATTTTTTAAAGTGAAAGAGATGATTCGAAACATGTGGTGATCGGTATATAATATACAATTGCGCAATATTACAGAACGTGAAAACGGTTTCTATTATCTTTATGAAGCTCCACCATTAACGTTATCATATTTGCCTTTATAGCAATAAAAAAATATTTTTTTTTTGTAAAATGCATATATACACTATCATTTTCTGTAAAAATCCTCTGTTTATTTTTTATTAACTTTATTATACCTTTTCTGCAACTTTTGATCTTGTTGCGAAGAAATTCTGAACTGCACTCTTAATTAATTTACAAGTTTGATAAGATTGCTTACTTTTTTGTTTACATATATACGTATTTATTAAACATTAAAGTAAATCAATTTTCTCTATTCGAAATCAATATTTAAAATAATAAATAAATATTGAAATTTCAATTTTCAATTTCAAGTGAAATTGTTTAGCATAATTTTCAGATACAGCTTTTGTATCATGATCAACTTCCGAATAGTTAGGGATATCAAATGTCATTCAATGAGGTTATCGCAAATGAAATGCAACTCATGAAGAAATGTATTTTTCATGTAGAAATCTTTTTCAAAACTTAAAATAGAAAATACTTTTGCACTAAAAATAAATTTTACTACAAAAAAATAAATTTCAGTATTTAGTGATTAATTTGTTTTTATAACAATAAATGCAATTATCGTATTTATTTATTTTTTTATGATAAGAGAACTAATTGGAAAAAAATTCTGTTTTTGTAGTCAAAAAAAGAGGAAGAAACAAAACAGAAGGAAGAGGAGGAGACGAGGAGGAGGAGGAGTAGCAGTAGTAAAGAGAATGAGCCGAATAATGATGAACGTGAGGAAGTTAGAAAAACAGTTTCAGTGGACCTGGAGATTAAGGCCCAACGACCATCCGAGCCTGCCTCCCCACCCACGAGTGAGAACCTGGAGGGCGAGAGGAACATCTCGCACTCTTCGGATCCGATCGCGACGGACCTCACGAATGTGCCACCACTCGGGGTTTTACCGGTAGATACCGAGGGTCCACCTCTACTCGTGACCGACTCTTGGCGTCGTGTTAACAAGAGTGTAACCACCCCAGAAATCCCAACACCGCCAAGTCAACAATCGTCGAGCGACAGTGTTTTCACGGATCCCGACGAAATCACAATGGTTGCCGAAAATGAAATTCGAATTGAAAAATCCCTCATCTGTCCCACCAAAGACATCAAGGACAATAATAATCAGCCCAGTGAGGAATTTAAGTCACCATTCTCCGTTTCCCGTCACAGGAGAGTTGAACTGACACCAGTTTCCCACAAAATTGGTGAGCCTGATTTTCAATCCTTACAATTTTCAATTTTTTCTATTCTTTTTAATTTATAAAATTATTTATATTTTATATTTTTTATTATACGATTTTATTCTATTGTATTTCATTTACAAAATTATTTTATTACGAACATAATTTGCAGTAGCGTCGATTTCAACATTTTTAATTTAAGAACACCGTCCGTAAAAGAGAATAGCGCTTCAGGATTGGTTATTGTCCACTATCCCCACTCCTTACGTGTTGCGCGCGCAACACCGCGACGAGCCTTCGAAAGGCTCGTCATTATCATAATTAATTCCATTTTCCACTGTTTATTTTCCCTTAAAAAATTATTTACATACTTTTCTATTTGTTACACATTTTAATATAAATATTCTACGTTTGTATTAATATTACCTACGATAATAATGTATCTCTAAATCAGAAACAAATGATTTGTAACGATTTTGAAAATTTAATCCTTAATTAATTAAAGCGTTACAGATTATTTTAACCAATTTTAGTTTTTGAATGATACCTCACAATTTTCTGGGTATATTTCGATATTTCGTTGTATTTTATTTATAAAATTGTTTTATTATTAATATATTTCGTACTAGCGTCGAATTTTTAATTTTTAAGTTGATAACACCAGCCGTAAAAGAGAATAACTCCGCTATCCCCACTCCTTACGTTTTGCGCGCGCAATATTTTCAACCAGACGCTATACGCACAGTGGGGCAAAAAACACTGCTTTGGACAAAAAAACAACTTTAGAGCTTCAATTTTTAACGAAATTCAATAAAAATTTTGTTAAACCAAAGCTAATTAAATTATGCATCATTTCCCAAAGAAAGATTTTCAATAAATAATATCTGAAATTTTTTATTTTTTAATAAAAATTTTTAAAAAATTTTTTCATACAAGGGATAATTTTTGTAAAATTTAGAATATTAAATAGTAAACGAACGTAATTAGTTCAGAAACTTTCCCCAAATATTTTGCAGCAATAGAAAATTAATAAAAAAATTTTTCTTATTTGTTATTAACAATTAATTTTTTATTCAAATCTTTTATATTTTGTTATTTCCGAGTAATGTTTATTTCTTAGATAGTATATTTATTAAGAAAACTTGTTAAGATACTAAAAATTAATAACATAATTTCACATTTTTTTAATAACTTTTGTAATAACAAATATTAATAAATGAAAAATATATTTTTTTATGATAAATTAAAGTTTTTCTACTGTTGTTAAAAATAGCATTATTGTAATAAGTTACCTTTTATTTTATTTTAAAGTAGAATAATTTAAAACCCATAACCTTATTGTTTAAAAAATCTTAATCAACAAATAGATAACTTTGTTAATTTGTTACATAAAGTGTTCATTACTTTTACAGAATATTTCTAGAAGGATCCGATTAAATGTACAGTTTTGTCAAACAAGTTAAAAAATTTATTAATTAATTATATATAATATCAAAATTTTCATGGAAACATTTTTGCAAAAACTCATAATAAAAATAAAAAATATCTGGCACTTATTAATTAACTTATTAATTAACATTATTTATAAACAATTAATAATATTTTTAAGTTGTTTCACGAAACTATAACTTTAAGCGGATTTTTCTAGAAATATTTTGTAAAAGGAATGAACACTTTCTGTGCCAAATTACCAAAGTTATCAATTTGTTAATTAAGATTATTTAAACAATATCGTTTTAAATTATTCTACTTCAAAATAAAATAAAAGGTAACTTATTACAATAATGCTATTTAACAACAGTAGAAAAACTTGAATTCATCATAAAAAAATATATTATTTATTTATTTATATTTGTTATTACAAAAGTTATTAAATAATATCAAATTATTATTAATTTTTAGTATCTTAACAAGTTTTCTTATTAAATATACTATCTAAGAAATAAACATTACTCGGAAACAACAAAATATAAAAGATTTGAATGAAAATTTTTTTCTGCATTAAATTGTTTATAATAAATAAAATTTTTTTTTTCTATATTAAATTGTTTATAACAAATAAAAAAATTTGTTAATTAATTTTTTATTGCTGCTAAATGTTTGAGGGAAGTTTCTTAACTGATTACGTTCGTTTACTAACATATATGGTAAATTTTACAAAAATTATCTGTTGTATAAAATTTTTTTTTTTAAATTTTTATTAACAAATAAAAAATTTTAGATATTTATATTAAAAATCGGCCTCGAGGAGTCGATGCACAATTTAATAAGCTTTAATTTAAATGAAAGTTTATTCAATTTGGTTAGAAATTGATTAGAAAAATCCAGGAATAATTAGAGAATGAGAACAATGTGTTAGAATTTTTTTTTTTTTTTGAAAAGTATTTTTTAAGTTCCACTTTAATAAAAATTCCCAAATCTCACAAAGCGAAACGACATGGAGAAATTATGGCGTTCGGGAGAGTTAAATACAGGATATAACAATGAGCATTCATCGCATGAATGCCGACATACAATGCATTATTTTTAAGGTGCGACGACATTGATTCCCCTCCTTTGGTTATTATTTTAAAAAAGATAGGTAACAATTTAGGATGAATAGTTTGTATATAAGTATACAGTTTGCGTCAATATTATGCAGTCAAGGAAAAATATCACTCACGCCACTTTTTCGAACTCGAATTATACTTTGTGTTTACATTTCTTTCTTTTAATTTTTAGTGTATAGTACTAGTGACAATTTTTGTGAAATAATAGCAAATTTCCATTTTGTAATTATTGCAAAATCAAGGTAATTATTTGACTTTTAAATTTATAACATTAAATGGGAATTATTAATTTTCTAATTAAAATAGTACGAAGAATTTGTTTCCAAAAGGAATAATTTGTCAGTGTCTCGTTTAGTCTCGCTAAATTGAGAACAGTGCGCGTGCGCAAGTGGTGGGGATAACGACCACTTTCTTCTCGCTGCGCGCGCATTCTTCTCAACTTGGGCGCCGAGAACATTTTCTTAATATTTTTATTATAATTACAAATTTTCTTTTCTCTTTTATTTTTTTTTCTTTATTGCACTTAGAAACAAAAGTAAAGAAATATTAATTCCCGCTTGGAACGTTGAAAAAAATTTGATAAAAACGTTTAAAAAAAATAGTGGGTGTTATTTTTATGTTTTTCCTAATAGCTTTATTTTAAATTATATGTTTGCGTGCACAAGTATTTGTATTGTACCATACACTACATATAAAAATGGAAATAAAAAAAAAGTGCACGTTCGAGTGAATATGCACAGGAAAAGTTGGGAAGAGCTGTAATTTCCGTGGAGATTTAATTAGCAGTATTAAATTACACGTTACGAACCTAGTACTTGAAGTTAACAATCTGTTAACTTTAGAGCTTACGAAATGACGATACATAACGCACATCATGAAACTATAACTTGGATTCACTGGCTTAGGATATTAAAGCAATAAACAGATTAATGCACTCCCTTTAATTTGCCACTGTATGCTTTATGTATCTTGTAACAATAACTTCACATTTGCCAAACAGAAATTATAAAATCGTTTCGGAAAATATTTTCAAATCAAAATAAATAAAATACAAAAAATATTAATATTATAAATAGAATAAATTAGTTATTATCCATTGGTTTTTTGGTACTTTTATTATTTTTTTTACCTTATATTCTAATTTTTACAAATTAACCTCTAAAGTGCGCGCGCAGCATGAAAAAGGTAGGGATAGAGTTGTCCACAAATCACGAAGAACTATCCCCTCTCTTTTTCATTCTGCGCGCGCATACTTCTCGACTGTTGTGAAACTAAAAATAAAAAAAGTACTGTTCTTCAGTTTTCTTGTAAAATTCTTTATACTTTCTTGAAATTAAATTTTAGATAAGTAAATAAAATAAATAAAAAAAATAAAGTCTTTATACTTTCTTGAAATTAAATTTTAAATAAATAAATCAAATAGATCTCCCTTAATCATTATTTCGTATTAACTCTTTAATTTTCTCATCAGTTTTCTTCTAAAATAAAAAATTCCCCTCTATTATCGAATGGAAAATACAATTTGTTCTCTTTGAATGAGATAAAAAAATAAGCATGAGAAAGAGCTTAATTAGTTTCTCGTTGGGAGAGATTTTATATTTAAAGTCTCTCATTTGACACCTTGAATAAAAGGCAGGCATAATAGAGCCACAGTATTCGATTGAATTGGCTTGTTCTTTAGCCGCTGAAAACTAATGAGATCTAATGTCATCTCATTCCAGGCGTGCTTCTATTTGTTCGAACCACAACGATCGTGACTTTGATGATGATAATAATGAATCACGATGATGATGATGATGATAATTCTAAGTCGTTGTTTGCCAATATAACAGTACTTGAACAAATGCTGTTGTAATATCGAAAATAGCAATGCCTTTTTATGTCATTTCATAGATCAAAAGTATTATTTAAATACAATAAAAACATCGAACTTTCAAATCACAAGATGATGTAGATAAAATTATCTAAATAAAATTTTCTGTATTAGATAATTTTTAAAAAATTATTTAGATTATCTTGTTTAGGTATTGTAAATAAAATTATCTGGATTATCTTGTTTAGATAATCTAAATATAATTATCTGGATTATCTTGTTCAGATAATTTAAATAAAATTATCTGGATTTTCTTGTTTAGATAATGTAAATAAAATTATCTCGATTATCTTCTATAAAATTCAGTTAATTCACAGAATTTTTGACTGAAGCTCGTCTCTAAATCAATTGATTTAGTTTTTTTTGAAATAATTTTCAGAAAATTTTTTAAAACTTTAATTATTACCTATTTATACAAAAAAGTTTATTAAAAATTCGTCTAATATTCAATTGTTTTCAATTCACTACAACGAAATTCCCATGAGTCAAAAGCTATTTTAATTAAATTTCAATATATTCAAAACTTCAACTTTTATCATAACAAAATTTAAACTAAAATGTTTTAAAAAAGTAAGTTCTCTAGAATTTTTAATTAAAATTACTCAAAAATTTAAATTTTAGAAATTTTAGTTTGAAACCTTTTGAAATTTATTCATTTTTAAAAATTGTTACTATAACTTTTCCAATTTTTAATTATTTTTTAGAATTTTTAACTATAATGCTTTTTAAATTATTCAATCATTTTCTAGAATTTTTAACTATAATGGCTTTAATCTTAAATTATTCAATTATTTTTAATAATTTTGTAAAAGTTTTTCTTGAATTTAAATATTTAAAGAAAAGTTTCACTTAAAATTCGTCTAAAAATTCAATTGTTTTCACTTGAAAAAATTATCAAAAATTTTTAAATTGAAACCTTTTAAAATTTAAGTTTTCTTAAAAATTTTTTTCCATATTTGGAAGGGAACGATCTGAAATTTAATTATTTCTACAAATTTCCACTATAACTTCTATAAAATTCAATTAATTCATAGAATTTTTGATACAACAAAATTCCTATGAGTCGAAAGTTTTTTTAAAATTAAATTTCTATATTTTATACCTACCTATTCAAAAATTCAACTAATATCATAAAAAAATTTACCTAAAAAGTTTTAAAAAATTAAGTATTCTAGAATTTTGAATTAAAGTTACTTAAAATTCAAATTTTAGAAAATTTTAGTTTGAAACCTTTTTTTCTTAAATTATTATTATTTTTTTTATAATTTTCTTAAAATTCTTCTTCAGTTTTAATATTTAAAGAAAAATTTCACTTAAAATTCATCTAAAAATTCAATTGTTTTCACTTCAAATTTTATCAAAAATTTTTATTAAAAACTTTTAAAATTTAGGCTGTCTTAAAAATTTTTTTTTATAACCTTTGCAATATTCAATTTTTTTCTAAAATTAATTAATATTCTTTTCTAAATTTATTATTTTTATTCATTTTCAGAAAGTTATCCGAGAATTAATTTATTTTAAACAAAAATTTAAATTTTTTTATATAAATTGCAAATTGCACATGTTTATGGTTTTTTAAAAAGTAATATTTTATTGCAATATATTGAAGAAAATTAAAAAATAAGTCTCAATTTATGAAATTTAATTAAGCGAATATTTCTAGCGAATATTTCTAGCATTTATCTTATTTTCTATAGCTAGTAATTAAATTAACAAATAAAAAGATTGAAGCATCCTATCTTAATTAATTATCTTCTCTAGATTAAATTAATATTATATTTTGTTCAACCAAATAATCAAAATAAATTAATAAAATATCTTATTAAGATTATCTTACCTAGGTTAAATTCTTAGAACTAGATGAAATTATCTTTTCTCGATTAAATTGTATCATCTTAATCGAATTATCTTATCCAGATTAAAATATCTTATTTGTATTAATATTATATTATCTGTATCAAATTATTTTTGCAGATAAAATCATATTATCTGGATCGAAAGTACCTTAACTGTATTAAATTATATCTTAATTGAATCATCTTATCCAGATTGAAATATCTTATCTGGATTAATATATCATATTATCTAGATATCAAATTATTTTTTGTAGATAAAATCATCTCATCTAGATTGAAAGTATCTTAATTAGATTAAATTATTCGAACTAGATGAAATTATCTTATCTAGATTAAATCATATTATCTTAATTGAATTATCTTATCTAGATTAAAATACATTACCTGATGGATTAATATAATATCAACTATATTAAAATTATTTTTTGCAGATAAAATTATCTTATCTGGATTGAAATTATCTTATTTAGATTGAACCATCTTATGAAATGAACAATAATTTATATAAATATACAATTGTCTATATCTAATATTATCTCAATTATTTTTTATTCAGACTATAAGCCGAAAGGATTTTAATGTCTCGTTATAGTGTCTTTGACCTTCACATTGATTTTGAAATTCTCGTGATTATATTTTAGTTTGTCGAGTTAGATTTACTGCAGGTATAGAAAGTTGAAAACATAAACTCCCGTCGTCGTATAATTACCGGAAGACCAATTTTTTGGAAGAGGGTTTCCCCCCTACTAATGCGACAGTAAATAACAGAACGGTACTTGAATTTTTATGGGAAAAGAATTCCGAGATTATGAGATTTCAATTCCAGCCAAGCGTATATATATATATATATATATATATGTACAATAAATAATTAGCATTTAAATGAGTTTCAAGTACCTTTGAAATTTTCATGATTATCACAAATTAAAGAGTAATTATTAAATTCTAAAAAATTATGAATAATTTAAGATTCAAATTATTTACAATGTACCTAGTATTTTTTGAGATTTCAAAGTGATGCTGTAGATTGAAAATGAGAATTAAAAAAAAAAAGAATTTTTTTGAATATATAAACCGGAAAGGTAAACGCCCTTCCGGTGTTGGTGTAAAATAGTGACTCATATTTTTTTCTCAATTTTCCATCTATTGTTGTCTGAATATCTATAATGCAACTATATCTCTATTTGTGACTCATTGAGAACCTTTTGCAGAAATGTTAATTACTGTAAAGAATGTATAGGATTAAAGAGAATTATAAAATATGAACTATTTTTCACTGGGTGAAGAATTTTCTTTTTTAATTTTCTTTACAATTCGCTGTTAATATTGATTTTTAATAATTATTATCTTTACAGGGAATCTGCACTCGAACTCGTCCAGATCGTCTCGAAGACACAGTATCAACGATGACGGAACAGTTCTCAAGAGAGTGGCCAGTCTCACTTTAGACAGGGTCACCCTTGACACAAGAAGCAGTAGCAGAAAGATAAATCTCACACCACAAAAATTGGAGACACATCGATTTGAAAAATTCGAAGGTCAGTTTGTAAAAAAAAAAAAATTAATTTAAATTATTAATAGTGAATTTTTTTTAAATCACTAAAAAATTAATCTGACCCTAGATTTTTAATATTATATCAAAATTGTGGGTCATTACACGATAATTATTTATTTACAAATAATAATTAAATAAATACAAAATTATTTAATAATTAATAATAATTAACGGATTACCATAAAACAATTATTTTTAATTTAAATGATATTTATTTAAATTTTTCCTATTTTTATAATTTTTTTTTATTTTTTTATTTTATTTTTTTATTATTATTATTTTTTAAATTAAAATTTTTAAATGTCCATTTTTTTAATTTTATTAATTTTATTAATTTATGATATAGTAAAGAACAATACCTGATTATTCGACAATTAGAAATTAATCCAATAGATAAAATGAAGCACAGAGACATTTAAAAATATTTAAACCAAAGTTCTATAGACATTGCATTCGCTTATATTTAAAGTTGCACTATAAATTTTTAACCGAAAGTTAATTATAAAGGATATTTCGTTTCAAATGGCAAAGAGTAGATTATTCTTGTTTCATTTTTATTTAACAACCGCGATCTGGCGAACCAATAAAAATACCGTAATCTCGTCAAATGAAGATGAATATATAAAAAAAAGCTCACAGCAAAAACAAAATGAACTCTCATCAACGAATTTTAAATTAAAATTCCAAAAATGACGTCAGAATTTATATCAATTTTCCAGTTATTTTTGATATCATGAATCGATCATTGATAAATAATCCTGATATCATTATAAAGATTATTATCGTTCAAATGTCGGCATTTATAATGTTTCGGAAGTAAAGAAAGAAATTAGTTTATCGCAAAAATTAAAAATCAATTTCACTCTCGATGTAACTGATAATAAAATAAATAAAAAATATAAATAATGCTATTTATTAACAGAATTAAATAATAACCTACTGTAATTAAAAATTTTAAATACATTAAAAATATTTTTTTTTTAATTTTAATTTTTTTTTTAATTTTTCAATTCAATATATAGAAAACAAATAAAAATACAAGAAAGAAATAAATATATACAAAACAATAAATAAAATTATAGAAAACAAATAACTAATTTCGAAAGAAATAGTAATTAATTAGAAAACTGTTGAAATGTGAAAAGAATTAATTGAGAAGTAAAAAAAAAATTAATGGCAAAAAATTTTGTTAAAAATAACTATGATGAAATGACTTCTATATTCAATTGGTTTAAATTCCCTACTCAAGAGGCTTAATTAACTCACTAATCATTATTTTTTTTCTCGATTTCCGTCTATACTCAGAGTGTGCAACCTTGTAAATGACTCGGCAACACTTTTTTTCGGCCCAAAATGTGTTAAACATAATCAAAGATATAATGGACGATAAGTGGTCAAAATTTATTTTTATCGTTTTATATACACAGAAAATATTAAATTGAAAAAACGTGTTTACAAAAATATGTTTGAATTATAAAATTCACCCTAAAAAGGAAGTCGAAATAAAAGAAATACAATACAATTGGAAATAAAAGAAATTAATTTCCCCTCCACTTTCAAAAAATTTTGTCTCGATTCACTGCGGCTTGCAGTTGAAACGAAGCCGATAAAAATTTTGTATCAACTTGGACGTTACATAAAACAGATCCAACTAATTTCCACGAGTGTGATAAAAAATTTAAAGTTAATTTAGTTTAATTTTCATCTACCATTGAGATTAGTCTCGTTAATTTTTTTTTTTTTGGAATAAATTTTAATTTAATTTACTTTTTTAGAAATAGTACGTATTTTAGTTGTGTGTTCAATTTCTGCAATTTTGTCTTGCTTATGTAAGTTGCAATTAGGAATTAATGGCAAACGCCTGTCGAGAGTTATTAAAAAAAACTGTTATTATTTTTATGTAACTATTACTGTTTTTATTTTTATTGCTATTGTTCTATATTATATAGTGCTTAGAAAATTGTTTCATATACAATTGTAAGTTCTAAGGAAGATGCACCACAAGGATCCGAATCGTCATTAATAGTGTACCGCGATTGCTGGTGATATTTTTATTGATTTGAATGGGCGGATTGCATTCGATTCAGTAATGTTGTGAGTTGTCTCTTGTCCTCTTGGTTCAAAGTTGTCACTTGTTATTATTATCAGTTGTTATCCGGTGAAGTGATTAGTTGACTTTTCGAAAAAGTGATCACTTATTTTTAAGAATTAGCAACAATTTTTTTTTTAATATAGTTAATAGTTTCAATAATTATTATTTTTAATAATGTTAATAAAGTTTATAATACAAATTGCTAAATTTTTAATACAAAGTTATCGCTTGTTTTTAATTATCATGCAGGTAGTTTTAGTTTACAAAAACTTTATTTCGAATTAGTAATACTCAAAGTTGGCACTTGTCTTCATTACAAAAGTTATCATTTGTCCTTTTGAGACAAAATGATCATTTGTCTTTACGGACAATATAGACAATAATACTTTGCGGATAGTCAATAAATTTTCCAACAATAATTAATTAATAATTTTCCCTTTCCCACAATAATAGACAGAGTCGTCATTTGTCTTCTCATAGGTATTTCTCATTTTGTCTTCCCTAACTTCATCAGTTTTCTTTTCTATCCAAAATGATCACTTCTTTTCATGAATAACACGAAAAATATATCAAACTTCCTCATAAGATTTTTCAATATCTTCTAAAATTTTATTCTGTAAACTCATCAGTAGGGGAAACTTTTTTATGCAAAGAATTTTGTTTTTTGTGATATTGATCGAAAATTGGAACTCGAATCATATTCAAATCAATTCTTTTTCAATGTTGGGATGAGTTTGCAAATTAATATACGAGTCAGAGGACTTTTTTTTTTAAACGAAAGGAATGATTTGAGAGGCAGGTGGTTAAACGAATAGTAAATATGTGAATAATAATAAATTTTCTAGTCAACAACAGCTTCGAGTCCTCGAGGGCGGGAGCCGGTCTGGGTGCGGTATTTTAAAGTGCTCTTTAAAATCGTCAAGATCGTCTCAAAACAAATCCAATCCGACATTTCATCTCCAATTCTTTAACAGTCAACAAAATTCTCTTCATTCTTTTTTAACCTCGTAATAATTTTTTTTCGATAGTGTTCAGTTACTATTCCGTAAAAAATTGTCAAGTGTCATTGAAAGCAAGAATATTGATTTATCTAAAAGGTTTGAATTTTTAATATCATTTTTTAGAATTCTAATTATAATTATATTTTTATTTTACTAAATTTTCACCGATTGTGCTGATCATCTCTTAAATTTTTATTAAATTATAATTTAGAATTTTTATTTATATTCAAAATATTAAAATTGTTTAGAAAAAGTCCAATAATTAAGTTACGACTTTTCAAGTACGAATTTTCTTTTCTCATCATTTATCATCTTCAGTTGAAGTTGGGAAAAAATTTGTTTCTTTTTGAAATTAAATAAAGAGAGATATTTTATTTTGCTGACAATGGCAATTAAATTTTTACGATTTTTCCAAAGTGTGATGTGACTTATCCGCCATATTTCGTAACTCAAAATCGCATTTGTCCTCCTACCTTTAATTGTTTCGAGAATAAGTAAATAGATAGACGCCCACGTGCGTAATAATCACCGTGTAGAGAAGCGAGTGTCATATCGTAGTAAAACATCTACTTATCATGATGCTCTGTAAATTCAAGTCGCGCAGTTAAGAGACAGCCTTCATTAATTGTTGAATCGCTTTATAATGTTGCAGGACGATACGTTGTGAAGTGGATTACGGCAGGAGTTTTAAAACATCTTAATAAAACAACCCAAATGTCAGAAGCGGAACTAAAGAAAATTTGCTCTGCATTTTGTGTCCATTTAGTGTCGGCTGGAATTTTAAAACCCGCCCTTTCCAATGAAGAAAATTCGACATTCACGGTAAAATTCAATTTTTCTGCTACTTACGATTTTATTAATTCGGCTAATTTTGGTAAAAGATAGTATTTTTGGTAAAGTTGGGAAATGTGTGTCTTTAACGAATATCTGTTGGAAAACTGGTGGTTATTGTTGAATAGTTTATTGTTTTTTAGCCAGATGATATATACTACTGGGCAACTCAGGAGCCGGTCGCTTTCGTTCCGGGTAAACTGAGTCAAGAGTCTTCGCCTTCAGATTCCGTAAAATGTCTACAAGATGAGGTGGACAGTTTGCAGAAGGAAGTGGAAAGACTTCGTCAAATGGAGAGGATCAATCAGGACAAATTACGTTCCACTATGCATGATGCAAAAGAATTATCACTTTCATTAAGGCATCAGATAGAAGAACCTAGTCATCAAAAACCAGGAGCTGAAATTTCTCTTCAATTTTCTTTACCAGGAATTGGAAGTCCACTTTCTCTTCAGTCAGTTCCTGAGGCGGACAGTCCTCCCCCAGTGACAGGGGGACGACTTCCAACCGTGCCTGGAAATGAAGATGATCCTCCCTCCACAATACCTGAAGTTGATGGTTCATTCTCAGGAAGTGAAGCAGAAACTTCTATATATGTGGCTGGTCCACCACCACCACCTCCTCCTTTACCTCAAGTAACAGGAGCACCTCCTCCTCCACCTATGCCTCCTCCTCCTCCTCCTCCTTTACCTGAAACAATAGCGATACCACCACCTCCACCTATTTCTGGAATAATAGGAGCACCTCCTCCTCCACCTATGCCTGGAGTAACAGCAGCCCCTCCTCCACCTCCGTTTCCTGGAATTGTCTGCCCACCACCTCCACCTATGCCTGGAGCACCTCCACCGCCTCCAATGCCTGGAATGTCAGTTCCACCACCACCACCACCACCTCCCGTGCCTGGAATTGGAGGAATTCCTCCACCTCCACCAATGTTTGGAGCTGGAGGACCACCAGTTCCACCGCCGCCAATGCCTGGATTAGGAGGTCCACCACCTCCTCCACCATTTGGAAGTCCAGCGCCTTTTCCAACACCCCCTGCTGGAGGTTGGAATCCACCAAATAAACCAGGTTAACTATTTTTTCCTACAAACGAAAAAGAACTTATCCCAAAAAATTCATCTTCATTAATTGACAAATTTCACCACCACAGTGATGAGGAAGGAACTATTAAATCCTGAGGTTCCAATGAAGCCTCTCTACTGGACCAGAATTCTCGTGCAAGGTGAAAAAGTACCACTCGATAGTCCAGAATCTCCAGAGGTGAATTCCAAATTCTAAATTCTAAATTCATACTTGTGAAAATTAGTAAAAATACTTTTCACCAATATTTTGTTCTATTTTCAGACTCCACTCTGGGTGAATCTGGAAGAAGACAAGGACCTAAATATCAAAGAATTCGCGGAATTATTTTCACGACAAGTCACTGAAAGAAAGCCAACAATGAAGAAAGATGAGACCGTCAAGCAATCAAAGATACAGCCTGCTAAAATTTTAGACTCCAAAAGATCCAAGATGGTTGGAATATTGGAGAAAAGTCTTCATGTCGATTTTAGCGAGGTGGAGAATGCGGTTTATAATTTGGACACAAGTGTCGTGAATCTCGAAGCTCTTTATCAAATTTACGAAGTCGTGAGTAATGGAATTATTTTATAACGTTAGAAAATAAAACAACTTGCCAAACAATCTTTTTTTGAGCACATTACAATGTGTATAATTTTCAAATTGCTTCTATTTCTGAAAAAGAATCATTGCTTTAGACTTGACTATAGGTGCATAAAAATTGTATACTTAGAAACGTAGACTAGAATTTAAAATTTGAAAATGGCGGACCAAACATGGCGTCAAATATGAAGAGAAATTTGTAGGTTTTGGTCACTTTATTTCAAAATACCAAAATGTTATTGAATACGCCTAAATTTTGTTACTCCAGGGTTTTTGGGGTCGCTGATTACGAATTCGATGTTGGTAATCAAAAAATCAAAATGGCGGATCCAATATGGCGGACAAAAGTTTTAAAATTTATTCAATTAACATTAATTTTATCAGTCGGGGATTTTCGGGTTCGCTGAATACGAATTCGAATTCACGAATCTGGCTGAAAATACTCACTTAGGGATTTTTAGGGTCCCTGAATCAGAACCATTGATCAAAATTGAAAAAACTAAAATAATTTTGACCAAAAATTAGGATTCAGCGACCCAACAAACATACAATATGAAAATATCATAAAAAAATAGTAATTTTACTCTTTTACAGAGACCATCTCCAAAGGAATTGGAAGACATTGCAATGCATGAAGCTGAGCATCCTGAAATTCCACTTGATTCACCGGAAGTATTTTTAAAGCGTCTATCGGGAATTCAACATTTTACCGAAAGAATAGCGTGTCTGATGTTTCAAATAGAATTTCAAGATGCAATATCATCAGTTTCATCAAAATTGACAAATCTCCGTTCACTTTGTGAATATATGAAGAATTCGAGTTCATTGAAAAAAGTCATGGCACTAATACTCACTCTCGGCAATTATATGAATGGAGGGAATAGAATGAGGGGTCAAGCCGACGGCTTCGGTCTCGAGATCCTTGGCAAATTGAAAGATGTCAAGTCTAAAGTGCCTGGAGTGACCCTCTTACATTACGTCGTGAAGATGAAATTAACACTTAAGGGAGATTACACTTTTGATGAACCGTTACCGTTACCGGTTCCAGAGCCTGCAGACGTTGAAGCAGCGGGTTCAATCAATTTCGAGGAAATTTCCAAGGAATTGGATCGCCTTGAAAGAGAATTGGATGGTATTGTGAAAAATAAAATTTAACTACTTACGTAATTTAAAATTAATTAATAATCGTAAAATAGTTACTAGACTACTAATATTAGCAAAGACTACTGTATTAAATAATTTTCTTTTTATCGAAACAAGATGAAAATCGGTTTATCAAATAATATAATACTTGACAATCACTTTGTTCTAAAATCAGGGCTCGAACCAGTGAAAGTATTTAAAAATAACGAACTTTACGGACCAATGAAAAAACAATGAAAAATAAAAACTTCAAATAATATAAAAAAAAATTCAATTAAACTTTTTCAAAATATAATTATTTCTAAAAATTTACGCAATATTGCATTTAATATTTATAAGTATTATCAAAAATTTTAACTAAAATTCATCTTTAAATCAATTTTTATTAAAAAATTCTACTAGAATTAAATTATTTAAATACAAAAATAAATAATTTATTGAATAATTGAATGTATATAATATAAAAAAAATCCAATTAAACTTTTTCAAAAAAATTTATTTCAAAATTCAATAATTTCTAAAAATTCACGCTATAATGCTTTTGGTATTCAATTTATAATGTAAAATTTTAAATGAAATTTATTTCTAACACATTAACATTATAGCATCCAGCCCCTCAATTACACTTTTCGAGGAATTCCATAAAAATTGTATTAAAAATAATTGAAATTCAGCATTGAGTTTTATTATTATTGAAAATAATTGAATTCATGAAAAGAATTTAATTTGCGAAAATAATTAAATCTTTGTAAAAATTTTATTATTAATGATAATAATTTATTGAATTATTTAGAAAAAATTTATAAAAAAATTAGTAAATAATTAATTTTCTTAAAAATTTTTATTATTTTATGAAAAAAATTGAATGTTTGCGTAGAATTTTATTAAAACTTTTTTAAATAATTGAATTCTTTCGGAAAATTTTATTAAAATAGTAAATATTGAAAATCATTGAATTAAGAAAAATTTCTAAAAACAATTGAAATTTTGACAAGAATTTTTTTAAAAAGTTTTGAAAATAATTGAATTCTTCAAACGAATTTTATTACATTTTTTCAAATGATTGAATTCCTCTGAAAAATTTTAAATTATTTAGAGAATAATTCTAGCAAAGGATTTTAATAAAATTTTTGTAGATATTTGAATTTTTTTCAAGAATTTTTAAAAAATTTAAAGGAATAATTCAATTATTTTGACTAATTTCATTAAAATGGTACTAGAAATAATTGAAATTTTACGATTAGGTATTTATGAATATAATTGAATTCTGAAAAAGAATTTTATTTTTTATGAAAATAATTAAATGTTTGCGTAGAATTTTATTAAAATTTTTGAAAATAATTCAATTCTTTTGTAAAATTTTATTAAAATAGTAGATTTGAAAATCATTGAATTGAGGAAATTATTTTTAAATAATTGAATTTTTAACAATAATTGTATTAAATTTTTTGAAAAAAATTGCATTTCGGAGAAGAATTTTATTATTTCTAAAAGTAATTGAAATTTTGACGAGAATTTTTAAAAAATTTATGAACATAATTGAATTTCTGCGAAGAATTTTATTATTTATGAAAATAATTTATTGAATTCCTAAAAAGAATTTTATTTACAAAAATAATTGAAGAATTTTATTATTTCTAAAAGTAATTGAAATTTTGACAAGAATTTGTTTAAAAAGTTCTGAAAATAATTGAATTTTTGTAACGAATTTTATTACATTTTTCCAAATAATTGAATTCCTGTGAAAAATTTTATTATTTAGGAAATAATTCTTGTAAAGGATTTTAATAAAATTTTTGTAAATATTTGAATTTTTTTCAAAGATTTTATGAAAATTTAAAGAAATAATTCAATTATTTTGACTGATTTAATTAAAATGGTACTAAAAATAATTGAAATTCTGCGATTAGGTATTTATGAATATAATTGAATTCTTAAAAATAATTTTATTTTTTATGAAGATAATTAAATGTTTGCGTAGAATTTTATTAAAATTTTATTAAAATAGTAGATTTGAAAATCATTGAATTGAGGAAATTATTTTTAAATAATTGAATTTTTACCAATAATTTTATTAATTTTTTTGAAAAAAAATGCATTTCGGAGAAGAATTTTATTATTTCTAAAAGTAATTGAAATTTTGACGAGAATTTTTAAAAAATTCATGAACACAATTATAGATACTTTTTATCAAATTTTGATATTAATTTCTATTATTTTAATTTTGAAAAAAATTATGAAAATACTGGAAATACTGAAAATAATATTTTTAATTATAGGTTGTAGGAGAAAATGTCATATTGTCGTTGAAGGAAATCCCAAAAATGCAGGACCATTTAGGAAAAAAATGGATTCGTTTTTAAAAGAGGCAGTGACTGAATTAGCGAGTGAGAAGAAAAGTTTACAAGAAGCAAAAAATAAATTTCGAGGTGTTATGTTATATTATCAATACATTCCCAAAGGCTGTACAATCGACTCTGCCGATCCTCATGATTTCTTCATGCTTTGGCTCTCCTTCTGTCAAGATTTTAAGGTAATTAAAAATTATACAACTGCTCAATCTTCAAATATATCTACTAATGATAAAAAAATAATTATTTTTCTTGCAAATTATTATTTTTTTCATAAATTGTACTTAGGGTTAGAAATTTCTAGTTTTTTTTCAATTAAGTGCAATTTTTTATTTGTAAAATGAAATCAATAATTTTTTTATCCCTAAGTATTTCATTTTATCTTTTTATTAAAAGAATATTTTTTAATAAATTAATTTTCTTTTCAGGATATTTGGAAAAAGGAGCAGCAAAGAATAAGAACTGAAAAAATCGAGCAAGTACGACAAAAGTATGGAAAGAGGAGAAATTTCGAAGTTGTGAAAAAAAGTGAAACTGGTTTAAAGGCTAGATTACAGAAATTAACGTCAAAAAGATGAGACACGGTGTTAATGTTTTCCTCTCTTTTTCTTATTAAAACTAAAATTGTTTGTGATATATTTATAGTTTTTATAGTGTAACATAACTATTTGTACGTAATTTTTTTTTTGTACATATTTTGTAAGTTGTATAATATTTTGTGAATACTATTTTTTTACTCTCATTAGTGGAAAGAAAATTGAATAATTATATTATACATGACATTGTAGGATTATGTGTTGTATTGTTTTTTGTTATTTGTAAATATAAAAATATGCATCGATCGTTTATTGAATGTTAAGTTTAACGCACAAAAAATCTATAAAATGTAAAATAATCATTAATCATTTTGAGACAAATAATTAATAATAAAAATCATTTTTATAAAAAAAGATGGTTATTTTTTTAAAACTTTCTTCATTTATCTCCCCAATTTCAAATCAATGTTGATTAAAAAATTTCCATGACATTTGTTATTTAAAATAAATCTAAAATTTTAAATTCTCAAAGGGTAATTAAATTTTCAAAAAGTTAATTTTTCGTTTTCAGTTGATAAAATAACCTAATGGATGAAATTTGATATTGGGAGTACCTAAATTATTATCAAAAAGAAAAATGCATACGCCCACTAAACAGCTTCATTTTGAACCCCACAATTTGTTCCAGGCATTTTAAATCTAGTTCTTCTTGTGAAAACTACTGAAAGTGTATACAGTGATTCGAAATGTTGTAATTTTTTGTAAATTTTTAAAAGTAGTTTTATTAAAAAAGCGCATTGCAATATGTTATTAAGAACAATATGGTTGTTTATAATTTTTTGTAAATTTTGTGAAGCTTGGATTAACGAAAGGTGAAATTTTGTGAATGACTGTTAAAATTTTTTTTTAATGGAATCTTTTATGATTGAAATTTACAATTATTTTAAAACTAAAAATAATAATAATTATTTCAAAATTTAAAAAAAATTCTCGTCAAAATTTCAATTATTTTCGAAAGTAATAAAATTCTTCTCTGAAATTCAATTATTTTTTAAAATTTCAATAAAATTCTTGTCAAATTTCAATTATTTTCAAAAAATTTTCTCATTTCAATGATTTTCAATATCTATTTTAATAAAATTTTCCAAAAAGAATTCAATTATTTTAAAAGAAATTTTAATAAAATTTTACGCAAATATTAAATTATTTTCATAAAAAGTATAATTAAAAATTGTTGAAAATAATAATAATTGAATTGAAATGATGAAAATAGTTTTGAAAAATTTACAGTAACAATATTATTATAATATAAATGAATGATTTTCTCACTCGTTAATTATTAATTAATATAAAACATGAAGAAATCGATTACTCCGAGTCTTCGACTCGGAGCAATCGATATCTTCATGTTTTATAACAATACTTTTATATAAGTTGTTTAATTTGAAAAAGGTTTGAATTTAAAATTTTTGAATATCTTAATTCCTGTGGAAAAATAATAATAATTAAATATTTATTTAAAAAAGAAGTTATTGATGTTTTCGAATAATTTTGCAATTAAAGAAATTCGTAAATAAATGTAACAGAACATTTTTTTGAGTTAAAATTTTTTTCATTATTTTCTAAAAATTTAAAAAGTTTCAATTTCATTTTCAATTAAAATTTGTAATTAACAAAAAGAATTTCTAAACATTTTTTTCCCATTAGTTTAATAAAAATTGAATTTTTTGAAAGCAATAATTGTAATTAAGAAATAGAAATGATGCAAATTATTTCCTTATGAAGAATTTTCTATAAAAATATTAAGGAATGGGAGAATATAATGTTTTTTTTTCAAAAGAAAAGAATGAGTTTGTAAACAATATTGTTCTTTAGAAATAAAAATTTTGCATAACGATAATAAAATTAAAAAATTATCCTAAACAGACCAGTTTTGGAGTCAATAGATGGCAACTTATTTATATCAAGTGCTAAAGATAAAAATATTACTTTAAAACCTTTGGGAAATGGAGTCGTTAACATTAATGATATTAATTTACTACACGTCGCAACGGAGGTAAAATTATAATATTGTTTTTAAATAAAAAAAATTTGTTTTTTTCGCTTTTTAGTATATGTTAAAAAGCATACATCGCTTTGAAATGAAACAAAATTATTTTTAATTTTTAAAAGGCACAAAAAGCTTCAAAATTGATAGACAGATGGAAAAGTGGGCGTTTAGCAGACATTGAATTTAGTATTCAGAGATTATCTGAATATGTAGAAGGCCCTCATGGACTTCTCCGACGGATGGATTCATTAACAGGCCGAGATTCCACTTATGCTAATACTTCAAATTTAAATCCAAATACAAACCCGGTAAGCGATTTTTAATAAATTTCCAGCTAATTTGTTGACTTTTTCAAAAATCGTCCGCCATATTAGATTTATTTTGAATTTTAAAAAATTAATACCAGGTCTATAATCAGCGACCTGGAGAACTCTCTAGTAGCAAATTCCAAGCAAATCCGTAAAGTTTTGTCAAAAAATGCTGATCACGAACCAAATTTGTAATCAGCATTCTCAAAAACTCCCGAGTAACAAGTTTCAAGCAAATTCGTCAAGTTTAAAAAAAAATTGTCAGCCATATTGGATCCACCATTTTGAATTTTAAGAAATAAACATCAGATTCGTAATTAGCAAACCCGAAAATCCCTAAGTAGCAAGTTTCAAGCGAATCCGTTAATTTTTTTAAGAAATCGGTCGCCATATTGGATCCGCCATTTTGAATTTTGAAAAATTGAAGTCGAATTCGTAATCAACATTCTCAAATTCATGTTTTCGACGTAATATCCTAATTCCAATTTAGTTGGTTTGCGTCAGTGTTTATTAGTATGCCCAAGGGCATTAATATGGGTTAACTAAAGTCTCCTCGTATTTTATTTTGAACTTGATCATTTATTCTAAAAATTTACTATTTATAAATTCATTTCCAGTTAATATTTCAAAGGGGGTTTCCTTTTGTTTCTGCATTACCGTTTCCTCGTATACTGCCCATGACAATTGTTACCGTTTTATCTATCTACGATTTCAAGTGGACGTAGTATCTGTTTAAAAATCCTTAAACTATATTTAAGTGTTTTTAGATTGAGTACACTTGAAATTATTGACGGATATAAGACATTTTTCTAATGAAGGCATTATATCTATTGATATCTTATCATTCGCTCCTTCTGGTGTATGTAATATTCTTCAATATACTTTAAAAATTAGAAGACAAGTGTCTTCTAATTTCGTAATATTAATCCTCTATAGCATCTAAATTTTTTTCAACCGTATTAACTTGTATGGTTGCAGGTACACTTTAAAGTTAATAATTATCATTGTTATTGACAATTACAGAACCGCTTGTTAACTTTCATTTACAGGAAATAGAAGAGACTAGAAATGAGGAAGTTCGCAAAGTAAGATTGAGGGTAAGGCTTTTTTAATAAATTTTTGGAATTTATAATCAGCTGTCTTAAACAAAATTTAATAATTGAAAATATATCTTCCATAGGTGACAAATTTGGCAAAGAAAGTGAGAAATATTGAACGAAAGTTGAGACGAAATGATTGTGTCAGCGATCCATGCCAGAATGGTGGCACATGTATAGATCTTTATGATGGTGTTCAATGTCTTTGTCCTACTAATTTTGAGGTAGAATAAAAATAAAAATACTCTCTGATTTCAATATAGAAGCAGATACAAGAATTGTTCTTTTATAGGGTCCATTTTGTTCCATTGATGTTGATGAATGCATGAAATACAAAAACACCGACTTGGGTTGTCAAAACGGAGCAACTTGCCACAATATTTTTGGTTCATACGAGTAAATTAATTTTGTATTCTATTTCTGCAACAAATGATAATAAGAGTGGTTTAATAATTTAAATCTTTGCTATTAGTATTTACTACTATTATTGGGGAATAATTTTAAATAAAGAGAAAAATTTTGTAGGTGCATTTGTTCTCCAGGATGGTATGGAAAGGACTGTGTATTGAAATCAACAAATTGTAGTTTGCAAAATGATGCAGAATTATGTGGGCACGGCCATTGTATTACTGTTGCAGGATCACCACTTGGCTATACTTGTCTTTGTAAACAGGTAAACTAATCAAACAGAATTTCTTTGGCGAATAACCTTCGTCGTTATTAGCTTTTAGCTAACAGATTTTTGCTGGTCTGTGTAATTTTATTTTTTTATAAACGTGACAAACCATTCATTGTTAGCACATTTGTACAAAATGGCTCGTTTTAAACCCGTATAGAATTTGATAAATAAATGAGACAATAAAAGGTTTACAGTATCTAGCGAACGACCCATTTGGTAAAGTAGAAAGCAGAAAACACATCTAGGATGATAAGAAAGATTACACTTCCTACAAACTTTTATAGTATTATATTATTCCCTTTGTTTAGGGATGGGAAGCCCAAGATGTAACAAATCCGACATGTACCAAAGATGTTAATGAATGTGCATTAAATCATCCACCATGTTCGGTGAATCCTCCTGTTGTTTGTCACAACGTTCCAGGATCATATTTTTGTGGCAGCTGTCCACAAGGTTACACTGGAAATGGATATTATTGTAGTGATGTTGACGAGTGTCTTTATGACAATGGAGGATGTAGTACAGTACCTCGAGTACAGTGCATCAATACAATGGTAAATATTTGTTTCATTGAAGGAAATAGAAGTTTTCCAAGTAACCCAAAATTATAGAAATATATGCAGTTCGTAACTACAATTATAATTGTTTTTGTAAGGGCTCCCGAATTTGTGGATCTTGTCCAACAGGCTATGAAGGTAACGGAGAAATATGCACCTATGTCGGTGGCTGTAAGATTAATAATGGAGGTTGCCATCCTTTGGCAATATGCTCCGAAAGTTCATTTAGTGGAGTCACCTGTCGCTGTCATCCTGGATACATTGGAGATGGAATTGCTACTTGCACTCCTCAATCGAGCCCAACAGATCACACGGGAGCTTGCGCTAGTAGTCCTTGTATTCACGGATCATGTATTCCTGGAGTTGGAAATACGTTCTCATGCCATTGTCAAAATGGTTACATGGGTAACAATGAAACATAGGAGTAACAATGAAAAATAAGAAAATAGCAAACTTGAAGAAATTTTTTCCCTCTTCGTTTATCTATAATACTAATAACAATAATTTTTCATGCAGGTATTTTATGCAATTTAGCGGTTGATCCATGCAATCCAAATCCCTGTAGAAATAACGGAGTTTGCAAGAGAACGTTATCTGGAGGTGTCACTTGCGAATGTACATCAAGTTTCACTGGATCAAGGTGCCAAAAGTCGAGACAATCATGTGGTGCAGTTTTAAGAGATCCTGCTGGTACTGTTGAATATCCACTTGGTGGTGTAAATTATCAGGATGGACAAACATGCGCTTGGCAATTGAAAACCAATCACAGTTTTGTCTTTAATGTCACGTTTACTCGATTCTCCTTAGAATCTTCATCTGAGTGTGCCTATGATTTTCTGGAAGTAAGCTTCTATATTATTACCATTAAAATTACTCCTTTAGCAAATGTTAACTTGTATTTATATTTAATTTATTGTAGATTCACGATGGAGAAAGTACAAGGGATCATCCGTTTGGTAGATTTTGTGGTGGAATTGGTAATCTACCGAATAGAGGAAATATTATTTCCTCACATAATGCCCTTTATTTTTGGTTTCGTTCTGATCATACTGTAGCATCAGAAGGATTCGCCTTTACATGGAATGTGATTCCTCCAGTTTGTGGAAATACAATTAGAGCTGATATAGGAACAATTAATTCTCCTGGTTATCCAGGAAAGTATCCACCACATAGAGATTGCTACTGGTATATTTATGTTACCCCAGGAAAAAGGATTAATCTCCATTTTGCTCAAATGATGCTGGAAGAACATGCCACCTGTGAATATGATTATTTGCAAGCAAGTTTAACTTCATTATTAATTAACAATTTTTTTCCAATCATGATTTTTGATTTCTTAATACTTCCATAATATTTAGGAGTATCCCAGTTCGGTCTAAATCTCTACGATGCTAGGACACTGACTTCCCGGGTAGTCATAATATTTATTTATACTTCTATTTATTTTGCAGATTAATGAGACTACAACTTACGGGAACAGGCAGATTGGTTTATATTGCAATCACACTCATCCAACACCTCTTATATCCTCTGGATCGGAACTTATATTACATTTTCATTCAGACAGTGCTGGTCAGGATTTTGGTTTTCAAATCACCTATTCCAGTCAGGCAGGTAAATATAAAAGTTGTAGAATAAATAAATTTAAATTAATGGAATTTTCAGTACAAGTGATAATTTCAGCCTCACCGGAATGTGGGGGTGTCTTCACTCAAGATCATGGAGACATTGCATCACCTGGATATTTATCATCAGTGGGCTATGAAGCAAATACAGTTTGTGAATGGGAAATCCGTCTTCCTCCAAATGAACGAATCAAAATAACTTGGATTGGATTTGAACTCGAATCATCGACATCATGTATCTTTGATTCGGTTTCGGTTCGTATTAAGAGGAGAAAGAGTTTAATTATTTTTTTGTAACTTATTTTGTAAAATATATTGTTTGCAGCTTTACGAAGGTGGTACAATGGAATCACCACTAATTGGAAGTTACTGTGGATATGATCTTCCGGAGTCTGCGACTCTAAATACAAACATCTTGCTAATTCGTTTACAAACGGATATGTCTAGTCATAGGCAAGGTTTTCATTTGAAATACGAAACAGCTTGTGGTGGGGAATTTTATGAACCTAATGGAACCATACAATCTCCTTTATATCCATCATTGTATCCACCATCTAAAATGTGTACCTACAAAATTATTCAACCAGCGGGTAAAGTAATAGCACTTAGTCTAGAATTTCTGGAGATTGAAACATTGGGTCAAGGTGTATGTGCATATGATCTTCTTAATATCTACGATGGAATGAATGACAATGCCACTCGTCTTGCTTCACTTTGCGGAACTAATGATAATATGCCAGCTGAACCTTATATATCGAAACATAACTATATGTACTTGGTGTTTGAAAGCGATATCAATGTACAATATCGTGGCTTTTCAGCCAATTACACAACTTTAGATGTTGGTGAGTCTTTTCATAAATTTTTCCCATCCCATCACAATTTTTAATGCATGATGCTCTTTTAGAATGTGGAGGAATACATACAGATCCAGAAGGTGATATTCAGTATCCAGTTGGTGGAGGAGAATACAGAAATAATTTAAACTGTATTTGGTTAATTCACGCACCTCCTGGTCATATTGTTCAAATTTCTTGGAGTCTATTTAGTCTCGAGCACGATTTTAAATGTAGAAATGATTATGTGGAACTTTTCGATAGCTATAAAGTCACTGCATCGAAAACCATGGGAAAGTAATGGATTTAATAATAAAATTAATATTGATAAAAAAGTAATTAGGCATTTTGTTTAAAAATCAATTTTTTTAGATTCTGTAGTAACGTTTTACCTCCATCAATGATGACTCAAGGACAAGATATGACAATAGCTTTTCGATCAGATTTCAATTTGGGATACCGAGGTTTTAATGCACATTATAAATTTGTGGATATTTCAAAGTCATGTGACGGACATTTGTTTGCAATGACTGGAGTTATTAGATCTCCTAATTATCCTGAAAATTATCCAAGATCTGTGACTTGCGAGTGGATAATCGAAGCACCTAGTAAGCATCAAGTAATTCTTCGAGTGAAAGATTTTCAGATAGAAAAGAAAGGTTGTTTATATGATTATCTAGAAATAAGGTAAGATATTTTTTGAAGGAATGAAAATTGTCGCTACAAATATCATGTAAATAGCATGTACCTAATGTTTAATTTATTACAGAAATGGTCTTTATAATAACTCACCTTTAATTGGAAAATACTGTGGTGATTTAGGAACTATTCCAAGCACCATTAAAAGTTTCAGTAATCACATGTTTTTGAGATTCGTCAGCGATACAACTGAAGCGGATAAAGGTTTCGAAATTGAGTGGGATCTCTTGACAATAGGTATGGAAATTCTTTAGGAAAAGCATGATTATAATTTTTTCGATTAAGAAAATAAGAATTATCGAAATTCTTCAGGATGTGGAGGTACATTAACAGCAGCGAATGGTGACATTATTTCTCCAAATTATCCACAACCGTACGGAAAAAGTGCTCTCTGTACATGGAACATTATAGTATCAGCTGGTAGCTTTGTGCAAATTGTATTTGCCGACTTTGAGTTGGAAACTCATAATACTTGTCGATTTGATTATTTGGAAATTGGTGAAGGTAGCGACGCTAATCGTCAGAATGTCAATCGTTATTGTGGTACTAAATATCCAAATGTTGTCACATTCCAAAGTAATCTAGTAACAATTCGATTTAGAAGTGATCCTTCTAACCATTATCGAGGATTTCATCTTAAGTACAGCACCGGTAAGTTTCCTTTGTTCGTTAACTCTTCCTTGAATAATAATTACATAAATTATAAATAAATTTTTTCGTAAACTACCAGAATGCCACAATACAATTCGTGGTATCCAAGGAGTTATCGAATCGCCAAACTTTCCTCGAAATTACGAGCATTCGACTAATTGCACTTGGATGATAGAGGCACCAATTGGTAACAAGGTGAACATAACATTCTCCCATTTCGAGCTAGAAAGTGGAAGAAATGAAAATGTTTGTGATAATGATTATCTAAAAATAGAAGAGGGTTCCGAAGGGACCGCAACAAATGTTTTAGGTACATTTTGTGATACGGAAATACTTCCACCTAAAATTGCCTCAAAGGAGCATCAGGTTTTTGTAACATTTATCACTGATAGTTTTATTAATCACAATGGATTTAGACTTGAATGGGTTGTAAATGGCTGCGTAGAACATTTAACGAAACCTAAAGGTACATTCAGTTCTCCGGGATATCCTACCGGTTATCCCCTAGATACTGTCTGTGAATGGTTAATAGAAGTTGACTACGTACACAGTATACAACTGACATTTGATGAGGTTTTAACTGAAAAAGGCTCCAACTGTGACTTCGATTTAGTTGATATTTACAGTGGTGGAAATGATAAGGCGCCAAAATTAGGAGAATTATGCCACTCAACAAAACCTGTTACATTCACCAGCTCTGGAAATAAAATATATGTCAGATTCATTTCTGATGGTTCCACTGCGAATAAAGGTTTCCAAGCCAGATACGAAAGTGTTAATTTGAGATGTGGAGGGCATTTCACAGCACAATCTGGTTCAATTCATTCGCCTTATTATCCTCAAAATTATCCACATAATCAAAACTGTGAGTGGCTTTTGATAGTCGATACGGATCATGTAGTTAGATTGAATTTCACTAACTTTGATATTGAGAATACGAAGAATTGCTCAGATGACTATGTTAAAGTTAGTATACTTAATTATTATGTTTTGGTACAAAGAGGATTGCTGATTTAGCTGATTATTTTCAAACTTTAGGTATATGATGGACCGTCAAACACAGCTGCTTTGCTTGGTACTTTTTGTCATAATAAAATACCGCCTACATTGACTTCTACTGGAAATCAAATGCTAGTAGTAATGAGAAGTGACAGTTTCCTCACTGCCAAAGGTTTCAAAGCTGATTACCAAAGAGCATGTGGTGCTACAATAACAGTAAAGGACAATGGTATTTTAAGTACATCTTCGTCCTTATTTTTGAGGGAACTGGCAACAAACTGTAGTTGGATTCTTATTGCTGAAGATCCAGGTAAATTGTTTACATTTGAACTTCATCAACAATTTGTTTAATAGTTAATGAATATTTCTTTCTAAAATTCCAGCCGATCACATTACTTTAACTTTTACTCATATGCAATTTCCAAGTGATTGTGATAATCAGTACGTGCAAGTTCATGATGGTCCTATCATTGAGGGACCTTCATTGGGAACATGGTGCACAACTGACGTTCCACCGCCGATTATCAGTAGTGGAAATTCTTTAACAGTGAATCTAGTGTCGAATTTATACAATTCTGAAAGTTCATTTTCAGCTTTCTATTCTAGTCTAAATACCGCTTGTGGTGGAAATTATTCATCAATGAGTGGATCACTAACGTCTCCATCATATCCAAATAGTTATCCAATGAATGCTGAATGTATTTGGACAATTTCAGTGTCACCTGGAAATGGAATAGTTTTAGGTTTTCCAGAATTTAGTTTAGAAACAAGTTCACATTGCAATGAAGATTATTTGGAAGTACGTGAGAGCAATGGAATTGGAAAATTATTGGGAGTATTTTGCTCTGAAACTCCAGAAACAATTATATCAAATAAAACACTTTGGATTAAATTTAGAAGTGATGGGAAAGGAACAGCATCTGGTTTTAGAGCAGATTACGTTCTTCTTCATGGAATGGATTTAGATGGACCAACTGGACAAATTGCATCGCCTCTATATCCTAAGCCTTTGGTATTCAATGAAGAATACAGTTGGAGAATTACTGTTGAGTTTGGATGGATTATAAAGATCGAATTTCAGGACTTTGCAATTGGATTTATTGGACATGTTTACGATGGGTGTTCTGTTAAACTTGATGTAAATTTTTATTAAAATTATTTCTTTAATCTACAAATTGTTTAGCGATTTTAGAGTCTTGAAATTGTAATTATTATTACTCTAGATATACGATGGTTATAATGATGAAGCTCCTACGTTATTTTCTGATTGTGGAATAACTAAACCAGAACCTGTCTATTCCAGTAGTGATACCGTTTACATTAAATTAGTATCAGTGGTTTATAGTGTAAGTCATTAATGTAAATATTCATTACTATCAGAATCTATAAATGACATATTTTGTTAATAGTTACAGTGGCATAATGCCGGTTCTTTGTTCTTGCTATCATGGCACCAAATTCCAAGAGGTGAAATTCATGAAGAGAATCAAGTACAAAAATGTAAGTTTCTAGTTTTTAACCTTTCTCCGCCTAATTTGAAGGTTTCTATAAATTTAAATTCTTCCTCTCAGTGTCAGAATGCAATCAAATGATAAGTTTAACGGATCCTCGAAATGAAAGTTATGTAATTTCTTCTCCGGGATATCCAGATGGATATTCCACTAATTTGGAATGCAATTGGTTCTTTACATCACCATTGGGAACGCATCTTACTTTCCAAGGTCGATCAATGGATCTAGAGGAAACAACCGATTGTCTTACAGATTATGTTGCTATTTATTCAGGAAACGCTTTAAATTCGAATGATGGAACTTTACTGAGACAGGAATGTCTGTCGAATAATTCATTAATTACTATACCAACTGGTAATGAAATGACTGTTCGTTTTGTATCTGATTATGGTGTAAATGGAACAGGTTTCGAGGCTGTTGTTTATAGAGGTATTTTTAATATCAAGTTAATTTCCCGTTCTATTTCTGCTTTTGAGTAACTTAAGTGAATTATTTCTGTAGAATGTGGAGGACAATTGAAAGGACCAACAGGAATCATTCAGTACGATAATTCTTCTTATTATGCTGTACATTCACTTCGATGCGAATGGAATGTTACTGTTAGACCAGGAAGAACAATAGAAGTCAAATTTCTTGAATTAGAAATGATGAACAAAGATCCTAAAGTTTGCAATCGCAATTTCATAATGGTTTGATATTTTCCTTTTCTTCTTTTTAGATCTGAACAAGTATCAGTTTCAACAAATAATTTTTATTATAATTTTCAGTTAAAGAATGGAGAATCGGCATTTTCTCCTCTTCTTGGAGAAGGAAAATATTGCGGTGATAGTCTTCCTTCATCTTTAATGACAACAACAAATAAATTGTATGTTAAAGCAGTATGGCTGGCATCTTCTGCAAAATTCAAATTGTCATACAGGTAATCAATGATTTACGATTATTTGGCACTCCATAGCAACACTCATGCAGATGCAGTAGTAAATAATTATTTGTTTTCAGGGAAGTCGGAATGGATTGTGGGGGACAATTAATTCTATCTGGTGAAAACAGTTCCGTAGAGTTTTCAACGCCGAATTATCCAAATGTACCACCACCATACACTGAATGTATTTGGACACTTTTAGCCCCAGCTGGAAAAAGGCTATCAATTCATTTCATCAATGCCTTCGATTTAACAGACAGTGCAAAGTAATCAATTTTTTTTCAAAATTATTTTAACCGATTTAGTAATTAATTGAATTCTTTTTATCGAACTTTAAATTCATTCCAACAGCTGTGAAAAAGAGTACGTTGAAATTCGAGATGGTGGTACGGAATCCTCGAAAATATTGGGAAGATTTTGTTCAGACATTGCTCCCAGTACAATTACTTCAAACGATAATGCTTTATATGTTCATTTCTATTCCGATGTCTCAGATCAAAAGAATGGATTCCATGCAGTTGTAACAACAGATGGTTGATATTTTTCTAACTCTTTAAGGAAATTTTAAAGGTGATATTTTTTACTAAATTTTTCAACTAATTATTTCAGCTATATGTGGGGGAATAATGAGAGGTGTTCGTGGTGTAATTAGATCACCAAATTATCCTAATAATTATCCAAAAAATCAAAATTGCGTTTGGTGGATTATTGGACCATTGAGTTATTCATTAAGAATTCAGTTCCAAGATATACATTTACCCAGTTTGAGAAAATGTAATCAAACTGATCATTTAATTATTAGTGAGAAATTACCTGAAAATAGTACAGGTGAGTTTTAATTATTAGAATTACTAGTGAACAGAACAACTACATGAACAGAAAATTTATTCACTGGTTTTTTTATTTTCAGCTACGGAGATTGGTACATATTGTGGATGGAATAAACCAGAATTAATAAGAACTGCATCTAATGAGGCATTAATTACTTTCGTAACAGACGATAAAGAATTTACCTGGTACAGGGGATTTAGTTTAAATTATTCTATAAGCTTTGAAAGTAAGTGATGATGAAAAATTTACCTGACCTAAAATTTATACTGTAAATTTGTACTTGTAAATTCTTCTTGGATACTTAAGAATTGTAACTTCAAAGATGATAAACAATAATTTATTTTTCAGAATGTGGCGGTGCTCTATCGGGAATGTTTGGTGAATTCAAGACATCGGGTTATCCGAATGGAAATCTAAGAAGGTAAATTTGAGGGGAAGATCAACTTACATAATTTTCTCTTCATTTAAGATTATTAAATTACATCTATTCTGAATTTAGATACTGTGTATGGAGAATTGTAGTTCCAGAAGGTTTTCAAGTTGTTGTAGATGTCCTAGACATTGAATCAGATGATAGATATCCAATTAAGGTAACAATTGAGAAAATTAAAAATTTAGTTAGTTGTTTACGGACAAGTGTAAATAAATTTTGGGTGATTTCAGTTCTTTAACGACATGTACCATATTTCGAAGATAAGATTCTTGAAAGCTAGTGATTCTGAGAAACGTATTGTTAGTTCTTCTAACATAATGGTTGTTTCCCACTTCTCTCAATTTGGACAACGTGGGTTGAAAGCCAAATTCTCAGCCGTTGCACCAGCTCGTGAGTTAATTCCATAAATTTCTAGTGTATACCAAAACATCTCGAAGATGAAATATTCTGAAGTCAATATCTTGTGCTTATTGGGTGTAATTTAAAATTGTGATTTATTAATAATAATTGTGGTCTAAATCAGTTTTTGGTATTTCAGCTTGTGGTGGGTTAATGAAAGATCAGAAAGGCAGCCTTTCGGTACCAACTACAAGACCTTTCAACGAAACAGCCTTCTACTGTCAATGGAAAATGGAACCTCCGGAAGAGATTCTTCCTTTTACAAATGAAACTGGAATAACAATGACTTTAAAAGTTTCTGGCATTATTGGAGACACGCGACAAGCAACTAGGAATTGTTTATTCTATCAACAATACGTCAGGGTTACAGGTTTGTTGTTTCTTCATTTGGAATCAGATTTAAATGAAATTGAAAATCTACTTCAAATTCAAGAGATAGAAATAATGGTAGTCTTGTTTGATGAGTTCTTCTAAATTATTTCTCCCATAGATCCTGATGCACTAATTGCTACTGTTTGTGGTAATCTTATGTCCAAACCAATGTACGTGCGAACTCCATCCACTTCAAATACTATTAAGGTAAACTTATCTAATTCTTGGAATGAAACATCTTCTTAAAAAAAATTACCAAATTAAGATCTCTCTTCTATTTCAAAATAAATAATATTTTTTTTTTCAGGTACTGAATGCAACTGAAGTATCTCCTATGAAAATTAATCTAACATACGAATGGCAACAATGTGGTGGAGTCTTAGGAGGTCCTTTCCATACAATTAGAACTCCAATAGTCGAAACTTTCCCAATAAATTGTGCATGGGAAGTTAAATTTCCGGACAATGGAGAAATTATAAATTTGAACTTTAATTCCATAAATTTAGGAAGTTGTGAAAAAAATTACATTATTGTTAGGTAAAACAAAACAGTTTTCTGCCCCTGAAAAATAACTCTATAATAAATTAATATAATTGAAGTTATAATTTTGTTTTATAGAAACGGTGGGCCTAATTCTCCAGAATTAGATAAAATTTGTGGAAATATAATACCACAAAAAATTGTCAGCTCCAGTCATAAACTTTGGATTGAATTCTATTCTGAAACTACGCCAAATGATTTTGAATTTACTTTAGATCAAATTGGAAATGAATGCGGTAGTGTTTATCGCGGAAATCGAAAAGAAATCTCCTCTCCTAAGTAAGATATTTTGTTCTCCAGTTGAATTGGAAATTAGTGTAAATATATTTGAGTATAAATATAAATTTGGCATTTGCAGATTCCCATCATCCTATTTACCGAATGTCGAATGTGTGTGGACCCTTGTGGCCGAGGCAGGTTATCATATTCGACTTGAGTTTGTGGATAGATTTAATTTAGAATCCAGTACAAATTGTCAGAATGATTATCTACAGGTAATGAGTCAAATATTTCTATTCATGACACTTTTAATTAATTCTACCAAAAATATATGTTTCTGATGTTTAAAGTTATTTAAATGGAACGACAACGAGAAAGGAGATAACGAATGGATTGAAATTGATAAAGTTTGTGGTCGAAATACTCCAGGTCCATATAATTCGACTTCGACACGTTTAAAAGTTTTATTCCATTCAAATGAGGCAATTGAAGGAGATGGATTTAGAGCTCTGTGGTATCAAGATTGTGGAGGAGTATTTGATGTTACTAAGGAAATGAAGTATATAAAATCACCAAATTATCCAAGTTCCTATAAAAGAAACCAGTTTTGCAACTATACTCTAATTGCGCCTGAGAAAAATATTATTGTTGACTTTTTGGACTTCCAGGTTGAACAAGGAAATAAAGGTGTTATTGGATTTAATTATGAACGACATGTTTTTTAGTATTCTCTGAAGAAGTGGTCTGCAATACCTATATTATTTTTCTAGGTAAACGTGATTGCCGCTGGGATAATGTTACAATTATAACTGAAGGAATGTACTATTTCGATGAACCATTTGAAACTGTCTTTTGTGGATCCGAATTGCCTGCGATTCAGAAGTCCTATTCAAAAATGCAAATTATATTAAGAACGGATTCCTACCGCCAAATGCCTGGCTTTTTCTTGAGATACTTTTTAAGTGGTGAGTTCACTGGAAGTAATTTTTTTAAATAATGTATGAGAAAACAGATAAAATAATTGTCCCATGTTTAATAAACTATACGAACCATTTTTTTAAATATAGAATGCGGTGGAGAGATAACCGAACCCCAGATGATTAGTTCCCTTAATAATGGTCCAACATATTTCGGAGGAATCAATTGCACTTGGATCATTAAAGCTCCTACAACCAAGAGAGTAGTACTTCGTTTTGAGGAATTTTCACTAGAGTATAGTTCAAGGTAATCTTTAGTTGCGAAGCTCATGAAACTTGAAGTTGTTCTTTAAATCCCCGATGTTATTCAATGTTTGGTGTAAAAGTTTACTGAACATTGCATGAGAGTTGAAGATATTTTAAACTTTCATGCAATGTTCAGTCAACTTTTAGAAATGTTTCGATGCTGTGTGGGTAGTAAAAAGTAATTTCAAATATTTAAATTGTTTTAAATGTTGTAACAATGTATATCCAAAATAAAACTATTTTTTTTGTAGTTGTTCTTTTGATGCGGTTGACGTGTATGAAGGAGCTTTGATTGACATTAGAACACGTTTAGGATGTTATTGTGGAAATTTAACTGGCATGCTTCCGGTTGTTAAAACTTCTAGCAACATAATGACTGTTAACTTTATTTCTGACGAATCTCATCATTTCGGAGGTTTCAAAGCCTTGGTAAGTAGTTGAAATGTTTCTTAGTTTTCGCACCAGGAAGTATTAGAATTTCAGTCTGCGACTGGTGTCGTTTCAAAACAAATTTCTATACTTTCGAATATAAAATAGAATTGCTCTTAAAATACTTTCAAATAAGCTAAACAACAAGGAAAATCTTGAATGCATCGTATTCGCAATCGACTGAAGTACATTTTATTTTTAGGTAACATTTGCAAACAATGAAGCTGAAGGATGTGGAGGTATTTTAAACATTACTGACTCAATTTCCTTTAGGACACAAAAGTCTGAATTTTATGATTCAATACAAGATTGTCACTGGACAGCAATCACGTCACCCACCAAACAACTAAGATTTACTATTAATTCTATTGATTTAAAACCAAATGCAAATAGAACAATTCGTTTCGATAGATTGTGCTCAGGCGATTACTTAGAGGTAAGAATTCAAGAAAAAATTTAACGCATTTAACTAATTAAATAACACTTGAATTTTCGATTTATTCATTTTTTTTTCAACTTACTTTATATTAATCAATTCATTTCGATTCATTAAAATAACTTTTAGATAAGGGATGGAAAATCTCAATACGGGGATCTACTAGCACAAGTGTGCGGCAGTAGTTCACCTTCTTCAGTGACATCTTCCACAAATTCTTTGTGGATAAGGCTTTTTACAGATGGATCACTTGTTGGAAGAGGCGTAACTGCCACAATTGAAGCAATTGAATGTGAGCATAATGAATAATAATATCGATCTTGATTTTCTCTAGTTAAAAGTTAACGTGACATGGTATATATCTACACCTAATGTAGTTACAACGTAAATTTAATTTTTAATCTAAATTAATATTGTTAGTTATTATATATATATATAATATAATTTAAGTGGAAAATACAATAATTGCTTTTGAAAACTTTTCAGCTTATTGTGGAGCAACAGAGTTACTTTTCAGTGATAAGACACAGACTCTTCGATCACCATCATATCCTGATCCATATCCGTCAGATATCACTTGTAGATGGTTACTGACTGGATCCTCGTCCCGTGGAGTCTATTATATTCACTTTACTAATTTCGATCTAATGGATGAGCAAGAATGTTATGAAGAATATGTTCAAATAACAGACTATAATGTACGTAGCGCATACAGTAGTAATAATCAAATACGCTCTAATGTTTACAAATTAATTAATGTATTTAATAATAAAATTAACGTTCTGTATTCATTAGGATCAACATATTATTTCTGAAGGATATGGAGAAAACCATGTTGTTAGCGGCAAAATAGAAGAACCATTCAGCTTGAGCATGGTAAAATTTTTATTTATTTAATTCCTTTAAAGATTACACTTGTTCTATAGCAATACAGTACTGACAAGATGGCAAAAGCCTTGAAAATCATATATAAACAGTATAGCGGATACAGTCTGGGATACCTCGAATTATTCATTAAAGAAATTTTAAAAATTCAGATTTTTGTAGCCTTCAAACCTTGTGATTATGTTGCTCACGTGACCCTTTCGTGCCCCTTTTTCTGCACTATTTATTTTTGGTCCTAGCGAGAGTCTCTTTGGCATCCTGAAGGTCCGACTTAAGATCTGAAGTGACAAACTACCGTCCTATTTCTATTATAAATAATTTCTCCAAGATCTTTGAATTGTGCATTTATGAAATTATATTTGGCAAGTTATCAAGTGAAATCCTTATTTATCAGCATGGTTTCATCCCTAAAAGATCAACAATTACTAATTTATTAGTTTTCACCCAACGTATTTATGATCTACTAAATGAGTATCCTCAAGTTGATGTAATCTACACAGATCTTAGTAAAGCATTTGATACGGTTGATCATCAGTTGCTGATAAATAAACTCCTAACTCTTGGATTGCCGGATAAATTAGTACATGTAATTAAATCTTATTTATCTAATCAACCTAATTTTATTCAATATGAAGGATTTGAATCTAAACCTTTTTTCCCTTCATCAGGTGTTCCTCAGGGATCTAATCTTGGACCTTTACCTTTTACAGTCTACATGAACGACTTAACTCTCTCTTTAATATGTTATCACCTACTTTATGCAGATGATGTGAAACTTTATCTTCCAATTACTGATGCCAATTCGTGTCAAGTACTTCAAGATAATTTAAATCATTTTAATGATTGGTGTAAAAATAATAAATTAAATTTAAATATTGATAAATGTAAAGTTATGACATTTGTGAAGGGGAAAGCTATGATCTCTTATCAGTATTCTATTGATGGGAACTATGTTGAAAGGGTTAATGGGATCAAGGATCTTGTTGCTTCTTTTTCACCTAGTTTGTCATTTAAAGATCATGTATCAGATATGGTCAATAGTGCTAGTAAAACTCTTGGCTTTTTATTTAGATCATTTAAACAATTTAAAAGGATATCTCCTTTCTAACGACTTACGTTAAAAATCGTCCTAAAATCTGCTCCAATGCTTCTTCGACTTCTGTTTTCTGAGCAAGGCAATCTGGGTCGCAAATTTTGGAAGTAACCTTTCGACTCGCAGACTGCACTTTACCAAGTTCGCCGACAATCCTTGTAACCTTCTCAGTGAACAACTCCTTGTTTGAAGACCCTCCAATTTTTAAAATGAAGCTTCCTTTCGTAGTGGAAAGACACTTAGTACCCCTTTTCACCTAGTGAAAAAAAGCTTAAAATCTGTTCAGGGTGGTATGAGCGCTAAGGTCATCAGCATTTCATATCATAATTACGCTAGTCAAACAAGAAATTTTTGAACTCGAAAAGAATTTATAAAAATTATTTTCAAAATCTAATTTTAATTTATTTTATATTTAGCATCATCTTTTACCTACTGAAACATTAAAATATTGCGGAAGTATAATGCCTCATGATTTCTACAGGTAATAAATTCAGAATGATTTATGAAAAACTTTTACGTTATTTAATGCGTATTTATGTAACTAATAATGATAATAATAATATTTTAATCGACAACTGTTTTAGCTATGGTGACAAAATAGAAGTTAAATTTAAGTCATCAGTACAGAAATTACAGAAACATAAAGGATTTGAGTTTGAATATGGCACATCTATGTGCGATCGAAATCGAACAGGAGTGCAGGGAAGATTGGTACATCAGGGTTTCGTGGAATGCTGGCTCACAATTACTGCTCCCATCAATCACACAATCTCTTTGTACTTTAATAACTTTAGATTAGGCGGTTATGATAGTTGTGAAGAAAGTTCATTACAGGTGAGTTGGTTATTGAATAAAATAATTTATATGAGTTTAATTCTTGCTCAAAAGCATATTAATTATTTTATAAACAATAGATTTTTGATGGAGGTTTTAAGGATCATCGTCTAATAAATGCGTGCGGATATGAAATACCTGATCCCGTCTTTAGTACTGGCAATAAATTAAGTTTCCATTCGTTTCAAACTAATTCTAGAAAGTATAATGGTTATGATATTACCTATGTGGCTACAGATAAAGGTAATTCTTTATGAATAGTGTTTAAATATTTTATTTTAGTGTGTTTACTTAATCCCATGCAAAATTTAAGTAATAATCATGAAAACATTTTATTTCATTATAATTATTCCTTTTTAGGACGTGGTTGTGGAGGGAAAATATTTAACTACGCTGGTAAATTTACTTCACCAATGTATCCTGGTCCTTTTAGAAACGAAAGTGAATGTACTTGGCATATCAGTGTTCCTGTGGGTTTTAAAGTCGCTCTAGTATTTACAGATTTTGATATTGGCTCTGACGAACTTTGCGGTACAAACAATGTTCAAGTATATAGTTTAAATAATGCTGCAGTCTACTGCGGATCGGTAAGACTAATAATTATTATATCACCTCAAGTCAGTAATTTTCGGCAAATTGAAATCACAAATAAAATTCTCTCTTTGCAGCATCTTCCAGCTAATTTTTACGGTTCTAACAATGAAGTTGAAGTTACTTATAGAACGAGTATAAACAACGGTGGAAAAGGATGGGTTATTGAGTTCACAAGTGTCAGAGGCAGTAAGTAATAAAGGAAAAATATTCTTCAGACTCAAATTTAATACAATATAAAATTTTTCCTTTCAGATCAAATAATTCCTAGTGATTGAAAGATTATGAGAAAACAATTTATTTCACTCTCTATCTATTTTTACGTTAAAAATATCATCGACACAAAAAGTATCTAAACTTAGGAATCATAATGTGGAATGTAAATATTTATTTACGTTGTTAAAATATAACTTTGTACATTTTTTGAAAATATAGAAAATTTTATTGTAAATGACGGTTGTATACAAATTTATTTTTCTGTATTTCATTATTTAATAACAATATTTGTTGTAAAAGTATTTTTTGCAGACTTTTTATTTTCTTTGGTGCATCCCTCTTTTCTAAAGTTTTCGTTTTCTAGCAAAATTCTTGACATATGTCGCTTTTGCTATTTGCTTACTCTTCGTTTTCTGATAAACTTCTTCGCATGTGTTGATGATGCTCTTTTGATTTATCACTTTTACTTTTGTCCTCTTCGTTTTCTGACAAACTTCTTCTAATTTGTTGATGATGCTCTTTTGATTTATCACTTTTACTTTTGTCCTCTTCGTTTTCTAGTAAACTTCTTCGCATTTTTAGATTTTCCTCTTTTGATTTATCACTTTTACTTTGGTTCTCTTCATTTGCTAAGAAACCTCTTCGCATTTTTTGATGTTTCTCTTCTTTTGATTTATCACTTTTGCTTTTGTCCTTTTCGTCTGCTAACAAACTTCTTCGCATTTTTTGATGTTTCTCTTCTTTTGATTTATCACTTTTGCTTTTGTCCTTTTCGTCTGCTAACAAACTTCTTCGCATTTTTTGATGTTTCTCTTCTTTTGATTTATCACTTTTGCTTTTGTCCTTTTCGTCTGCTAACAAACTTCTTCGCATTTTTTGATGTTCCTCTTCTTTTGATTTATCACTTTTGCTTTTGTCCTTTTCGTCTGCTAACAAACTTCTTCGCATTTTTTGATGTTTCTCTTCTTTTGATTTATCACTTTTGCTTTTGTCCTTTTCGTCTGCTAACAAACTTCTTCGCATTTTTTGATGCTCCTTCGATTTATCACTTTTACTTTTGTCCTCTTCGTTTCCTAACAAACTTCTTCGCAGTTTTTGATGTTCCTCTTTTGATTTATCACTTTTGCTCTTGTCTTTTTCGTCTGCCAATAAACTTCTTCGCATTTTTTGATGTTTCTCCTTTGACTTATCACTCTTACTAGACTCGTCAGCCTTATCTTGTAAACTTCTTCGTAATTTTTTCATTTTTCTGAATTCTTCAAAATTTTTTTCCAATCTATTATTTCCATTATGAGATCTTATTCTTCTTTTGATTCGCTTCATTTTCTTGGATTCGTCACTTTTACTTTTAGATATATCGTCAATTAATTTCAAACTTCTTCGGGATTTTTTTTTATTTGATGATTCATCTGACTCTTCGCTCGAGGAATCATTTTTCTTATCTTTTTCCTTATTTTCCGATTTACCTTCATTATTAGCCGGTGAATTTTCATTTTTCTCCTCTGGTTGAGCTTTTATTTCTGTTGGATTTTTATTATTTTCCGCTTCTGGTTTTATTTCTGCTTCATTTGCTGCCGTAGTTGTCTCATCTTGTGCTTCATTTGCTGCCGTCGTTGTCTCATCTTGTGCTTCATTTTGTCTCTTTGATCGATGTGTTTTGAATGATTTTTTAGCCGAAACATCAGCAAGCACACATATTGTTATTAACAATAATGTTGTGATTAAATAGAATCTAAAAATAATTTTTAAATAAATTTTTGTAGATATTTTTTTTAAAGTATTTACAATTGGAAAAAGAAAATATTTACCTCATTTTAACTCTTAAAATAAAATTCCTCGATTATGAAATTGAAACTGAACTGTCTTTTTCATTTTCTGTGGTATTTATAAGCGTAGCAGTTTAGAAGGAAAAAAAATTTACTAATGTGAATTAGAAAAATTTATAATCTGTTCCGGAATAGAATAGAAAATGAAGAAGAAGTCGCAATAGAATGTATCAACTTTTATTCAGATTAAAGTTCAAATATGATATGAAAACTTTTGAAAAATAAAATTTTTCTCTCAATTTGCTTTATAAACACTCAATATTGCAAAATAAAAGATAAATAAAATTATATAATTAAATTTCCAAGTAATTTGGAAAATTTCAAATAGAATGTTGTAGAGAAACAAGTTTTTTTTTTAAATGTAAATAAATAAACAAATTCGTTATTAGAAAAATTATATTTTTATTTTTCTAATGTTGATGAGAAATGTTTTTTTTTTAAATGGAAATAAATAAACAAATTCATTATTAGAAAAATTATATTTTTATTTTTCTAATGTTGTTTATGGTACAGTAAGAGTTTGTATACTTTTTTAAACTTTAAATATCACAATAAAATTTTACGAAATAAGTACGTTTAGTTCTTCTATATTTTTATTCATTTGTTCAATAAATTTTGTGAAAATAAAAATTAATTTCTTATAAACGAAAAGAATTAAAAAAAATTATTGAATTTATTTTTTGAGTATTTTATTTCGATTTTAATTCCAAATTATTTAAATCGACATTTAGACGTTACTTTTAATTTAAAAACAACTTTCTACAATTTTATAGAATTTGAATTTAATAAATTTAACAAACTTAATTATTTCCTTATTTAATATAATGTCGGAAATTAATTTTATGTGAAGACAAATAAATTTTTTTAATTTATTAAACACTCTCAGGGTCTAATTAAAATAAGGACTCAAAAGTTTGTTTTTTAATTGAAATTTTTCCAGAATTAAAGAATTTTTTTTTGTAAGAAATTATTTTTAAGAGTTGTACATTTAGAAATCTTCACATGTCATATAATTTGTTATTTAATGTGTATACATTTATATTCTATAAATACAGAAAAATTTAAAAAAAAATTAAATTATTCTTAAAGCTATTTTCTTCACCCACTCTTTGCGGCACCACACTTACTCAAAAACTCTAATAAATCATTAAAAAATACTTCACAATTCGCAATTTTGAAACCATTTAGTCATTTCATAACGAAATGATTTTACAGAATCTGAAGTAAAATCACAAACATTTTTTTTTTTATATTTGGACAAAACAGTTTGAAATTGTACAATTTAAAAATTTTGACTTCAGATTCGTAATTCGACTCCAAAAATAATACGTGTATAATATTAAGAAAACTCATTCATAAATGGCTTCAGCGCCGCAAAGAGTTATTTATAAAAATCAGTAAATTCACAATAATTATATTCAGAGAAGAAAAAATTTACTTTAAAATAAATGTGCGTTAAAAAAAAATTATTTAATATATTTTATTATTATAATTATTGTTTTATGTTTAATTGTAAATTTTATTAATTCTAAAAAGAAATATTTTTTTAAATGCTGATATAAAAGAAAAATTATTTTTTTAAAGTAAATTTTTTCTCTTTACATGAATTCAAGAATAGAGTTTTGTTACAATATTTCAATATTTTTAATATATAATAATAATAAATGAAAAGAAATGTCAAAAGTAAATATAATATAGTAAAAGAATGATTTTCTCATATGTCTTTAAAATGTGAACATATTTGTCAATCTTACGTCTATTGTTCTATTTGTAATTTGCAATTCCAAAGCTTCAGAAATAATAAACCTGAACGAATAAAATGAAAACGGGAATTATTTTTCATACAAGGTTTTACAATTCGCAAATTGTTTACTATCGTTCTGAGATTTTGGAAGGCACTCAAGAGATTAGTTTTATATTATCTGTCATATAAGATTATTTTTTTTTTGTCATCAATTTTATTTTTTTATTTTATTTATACTCGGTCCTATTATATTATTTAAAATACAGAAGATATTACTAATTTTTGTTTCATTTCACTACATTGTCATGTAAGTACACTGATAAATTACTTTTTGATTTAATATTGTTCTTTTCGGATTTCATTTCTTTCTAAAAAAAAAAAAAGTTTTTGATACTAGAACACGATATCGCCGTTTGATATTTATAGATAAAAATTAAATTTTTTTTTATTCTTAAATACAGTAAGTGAAAGAAATTAAAAAAAAAATTATTTAATGAAATAATATTTAGAATCGAAATTCCTGTCACCCATTTTAATTTTATGATTTTTAAAATTTGTTATCGTGTATCAAATACTTTTTTTTACTTTCTAACATGCGAATAGTTTTATTAATGTCAGAATTGGAATTAATTTTTTATCCTAAATAATTAGTTATTTTTCACAGTTGTCTTTATAAATTTTTCAGTTGTGCTTAAAGTAAATTGCAAAGTGTGCGAACTAATAATTTTGCAATTATTTTCTAAAATTTTCAAATTCTTAATATTATATATTCAAAAACTATCTAATACTTTTTTATTAAAAAAAAAAATTTTTTTAACATAATTGCAAATATTAATTACACATTATTTGGTTCTCCAGTGTCGTAAATTATTCACCATGGAATGATAAAAGATTACAAGAAATATTTTCATCTATATAACGAAATATTAAAATATGTTAAAATTAAAAGTCAATTATAAAAATTAACTCTGATTTACATTGAAACATTTTTCACAACAAATAGCGGAAAAATATTTTCATTTTCTTATATCCTAAAGTGTTTAGTATTAACAAATGAGTTTTTAAAATGTCTTCTAATTCGATACTGAGCGTTCATAATAAAATTAATTTTAATATTCGATTCTGGATGAATTACGCTTTACGCGTATGATTAATCGATTTTCATTCTTAATTCAATCTTTGGACAAATTTGATCGATTTGAAACGATTTTTTCATTTTTACTAGGAGATTCCTTTAGTGGTTGCCAATCTTCTTGTACTGATGGAGGGAATTTTTGATCGGGATAATTCCACGCTTGAATGTCGGCTGTACCGAAAATTTGATACACGACATATGTGCCACAAGCTATCACAGCAGTGACACCAAAAACTGTCCTCCAAGCGTCCAAAGAATACTGTAAAGAGAAAAAAAAAGAAATAATTTGATATTATCGTTGATATTTTAATTAATAATTCAATACTTACACTGTCTTTAATTATAAAACCTGCTGCTAATGGTGACAAGAAACTAGCTGTCATATGAATTGTCTGTGCAAATGCAAGAACGGGACCTGTAGGTTTAAAAAATTATTTGTCAGAAATGATTTTCGGATTTTCGGTCCAGAAAAGAAAAGTAATTTTAATGAATTGTATTTACCCGCAAAGTTTGGTGCAATATCCACAATATTAGCCATTGCACCAGCATAAGATGCTGTTATTAAAGTAACAGCAATAAACCAAACAATAAGCGCTAAAATAATGTCACAACCTAAGTACCCTATTAGAATTACTAAGATCCCTGGAACAATTTGCGCTGTGGAAAAATAATTACGAGTACAAATTTAATAATGTTTCATGCTTAGTATCTTCGTCAGAAAATATTTATACAAATGAACTTACAAAGAGCAGTAAATATTTTTCGAACATTAGTTAAGGTCATTAATTGCCTCCTAACTAGCAAGTCTGCAATATAACAGAAGACTACTGAACTTAAGTAACTGCAGATAAAAGGAGCTCCACTTAAAATACCATTCTGAAAAAATTTAAAGAAGGAATTTAAAAAATAATTTATAGTAATTTAATTTAAAATTTTCTCTTTCATCTACTCACAGCTTGAATACTAAAACCTAGAACGGTTTTCATGTATTTTGGTCCAGGAATGATGAAGATGTAGTGCACCCATATCCTTCCAAATGTTGTGATCCCAATGGACCAAGCAGGCCACGACGTGAGGATTGACTTCCATGGAACTGGCAGGTCCTGTTTGAATAAAAAAAATTTTTTTTAATTATTAGTCCTGCAGAAATCTACCCAACTAGATAGAGTTGAATTGCAAAGTGAGTAAATATCATGCTTAAGTCTAAAAATCTTCAAATACCTGGCTTTCACCGATGACCTGAGAACTGACGCTTCCTTGGATGTATTGAAGTTCTTGTTGGGATATCCTTGGATGCGAGGCTGGAGTGTCGAAGGCGAGAAAGAACCAGAAGATACACCAAATAACGCCAATTGTTCCCGTAGTGTAGAAGACGGTTCGCCATCCAAAGTGGGCAATGAGAAATCCGCAAAGTGGATAGGTCAATCCGATCCCGATGCTGAACCCTGCATAAGGATAATGTAGGTGTTAGGAGTAGCTCACCCCATGACCCGGAAGAAGCTGAAACATGATGCAAGACGAATGGTTCCTGGATTGTACCACTCGTCAATTGTGATGGGTTGTTTCTCGAACAACACCAATAATTCTGAAAAGCGATTCGAATGAATATTTAATATGGAATGATGATTTCTTACGAGATGAACCTGACAATCGTGGGACAATGAAACTTCTATACCTGCAACTGACAAAATGATAAAGACCTATTCAATTTACACAAGAATCATGTAGATTTCCTCATCCATTTTTTCACCTAATTTCCTGTTATCACAACATTTTCAGATGTTCAATCACATTTCTTCATTTAAATCCATAAATAACTAAATTGAACATTAAACACATCAGTTATCGAATCATTTTGAAAATTCCACAAAATTTAAAAGTAATACCATCGGAATTTTTGCAATGCTTCGATTAGTGATATTAGGTTCAATGAACAATTTTTTTGCCAATTGAAAAGTGTAATAATGGGAAATTTTAAATCAAATAAAATGTATTTTAATATTTTGCAACATGCCAATTGTAATTTATTTTTAACGCCAATGATGATATATTTCAATGTCCCCTGCAAATGTACAATGAAGATAAATTGTTAAATAATGAATAATTTTGAAAATATACTAGTAATATTCTGAATCATGATTTTTATATTAGTAGAAATAGAAGATATAATATTTCAAAACATTGAGATTTGAATTGTTTTGCAATGAATGTGGTATTATATTTTGTGGAGTAATAATTTGCCTTATTACTAAACTTTTTTCACCAATTTCATAAAATATTAGTTCCCAGAAATGTTATTTAAAAATGGTACAGATGCCAGCAGCATTAATCTTCAGGCAATCCTGATAAATAAAATAAAATAAATAGTTTAACTATATCTTAAAGATCGAATCAACAAGAGGAGCATCAAATTATAGAAAGCAAGAAATAAAAGCCAAAAATTGTCAAGTCAAATATCAAATTAAAATAAATCATTTTAAGAAATTCGTTTTCGAATAAATGTAAAATGAACAAAATTGTAATTCATTTTGTAGTAGTAATCGTCGGCTGATTCTACCAGCTGAAGTATACTCTGCCTTTCTCATGCTGTTGAGTGGTTGTTGTTGAGTATACCCCACGATCCGGTGAATTCAACCTCGTCGATCTGAACAAATAAAAATCCAATGTCAATCAAATAAACAGCAACATATGCAATATCTCGCAATATCCAGATTTGAATTTATACTGAAAAAATAAGAAAAATATATTCTTTTGCTGACTGAAAAAAGTGTCTTATTAGTACTAAAACTTGAATCAGTTAAAATGAAACTGAGAAACTAGTGATAATATTACGTCAGTCAAAATTTACTGTATTTTTGTTAGATGTGATGAAAAAGTGAAAGAAAAAATCATGTGACAATTTTCTTTATAAATCAGTCACTTTTAACTGATTTAGATTTAGAGTAAAAACACACGAAAATTTTTTGTTAGCGTGCCTAAAATTCCATGAGAATATCTGTAATTGAATAAAAATAAGTCATTTCCACTTAAGATTTTAATTACTTATGTAATTGTATTGAAGTTTCACTGTAACACACAAAGAAAGTTAAATGCCAACATCGAAGAAACATGAAATAGTGAAAAATTTACCTTGAAAGGAAGACATGAAACGAGAACGTTCTACGGGTGGTATCCAATGTCCAACAATTGCGTACATGGCAGGCCAAGTTAGTCCCTATAAATATTATAAACATTTAGTTACTTATCGTATATTTTCGGGTGGTACACCAGTTGTGACTTTCAAAACTTTTTCGCTTTGCAACTGTTGTAGTTCCTTTAAGGATGATATAAATGAACATTTACTAACACTGGCAGCTCCTTGTATACTCCTAAGTGCTATCATTGCTCCGTAATGAAATTCTGTTGCGACTGGTATAAGTAGACTACAAATTGCAGTAAGCAATTGCGATCCACCAAAAACTGTTTTTGTGCCAAAATATTGTGTCAAAACTCCACCAACTACTTGGGATAGAATATAGCACCAATAAAAAGTACTTATGATAGTGGTTTGAACTGCTGGACTCCAGTCTAATTCTCCAGCGACATCCTGTAACATATATACAATTTGTCGTTATTTATCTCTTTTGGGGTGATAAAGAACTTTGGATTAGGGGCCTTTGATTTTTATGTGGGACATCTCCGTATACAAGTATATTTTTACAGGGATCTTGTACTTCTAGTAGGGAGGACGCAAAGAGAGACGAAACCAGAGTCTCACTAAACCTGTACGAAATAGAATTAGATACTTCTAGTTAATATTAATCTGTATTTAAAAAATTCTAGGTTACCACATGCTAGGTATATCGGGATATCAATGATTCAGAAAGCATTGAATTCCTTGAGGGTATCCTAACGGAGAGAATCGAAAACTCCCTCCACTGATGCAAGCACAACAAGATAGACTAGAAGACTGGTGCAAGAAGACTGGTGCCTGATGAAATGGAGAAGCAGTTAGTTGCATTCGTATTGGCCACGATAATACCTTATCGCAATGGATTATCTTACTGAGGACAAGCCTTGTGCACTACCAAAGGGGACCTTGCGAATGTTCTTGTTCCAGACCGTAGACTACCATACCTGTACGAAATAGATGTAATGCGTTCAAATAAAAACTAAAGTACGTCTTAGTCGCCTCTTACGACACGGTATGGCTAGCAGATTAACTATTCTCTTTGGCAGCTAAACACGTCACCCATTTGAATTGATGACACCAAGAGCAGGTGTTTAAACTCAGGTACCTTGGTTTCGTTAGGCCCGTCTGATGAAAACACGTTCATCCGCCCAGTGAGTCGATTCAATATTAGACTTGCCGGACCGACATGGCACTGACCATCATCAGTATTCTACTGCTCTACGAGAAAGCCTAGGCTAGCCATAAGACCGATTACAATCGTAAAATCGTCTAGCGTGCACAACCGTAGTACCGTCCGCAACCGTCGTCTAGTGGGTAAATTCTAGAAACCACCCCTCGCGAATATAAGCGTCATGACAACCGAATTTAAATTACATAGTTTCGGAAATAATTTACGTCTAGTAACACTAAAACTCGCTCGTGGTAAATTCGAAACTTAACCTAGGATTGCTGCTAGGATCTGATCAAGCAGATTTTCCACTTCAATCTACAAAAAGGATCAAATCATCAAAAAGATAAAAAGGTAGTTAAATCATTATTATCCTTTGCAGCTAAAATAATTATCAAATTAATAAACAGGTGATAGCCAGTCCTCCATAAATTTATGTATAACCCTACCAATGAAATCAAATATTCAAAACATTATTCACTTCTGCTTCTCTTCAGTTAATACTTCTCACGTGTGGCGCCTAAACCCAAAACACGTCAATTCCGGCTCTAAAATTGTCGAAATAGCGTCAAATTTGGCTGCAGGCATTTTTAACGAGGCCTACGCATATGTGCTTTCCGCTATGCAGCTCCTCGATATTGTCATCGGGCAGCAATGCAAGAATTTTTCAGACAACATCGATGCTGAGCGCATAACGCGGGAGAACCGGCGCGCATCATTTTCGAGGTTTTCGAGCAAGGAGGCTCGACTATCAGAAAGCATCCGCCAAAATGAGTTCTTCGAAGAAGAGGAAGGATTGCTGTATGGCCCAGGAATAGCTGATTAGCATTTAATTCGTGTAAGTATCCAAAAACTTATATTTTTTGAACCGAAATCTTTATTAAAGCGCGTTTTCTCGAATTTTCATTTTCACATATCATAGAAAACGGTGCCAGCGATAGCAAAAAGAACATTTCTCCGATCGACAAAAATCAAAGTGATCTAGCTTCAGTATTAAATTATCTTCTATTTGAACTAAAATAGTTGGACAAAAGTATTATTTAAACTACTTCTTTTGCAACTTAAAGTGATTTTTTTCAAACTTCGAAAAAATGTGGAATTTTATAACTTCTTCGGCATTTTTTTATTTCAAATAGAAAAGAAACTTATAAAAATTAAAAAAAATTTGGTTTTACTGTTTCAGATGCATTGCACGATTTCCATCACAGGCACCGATTTGCAAGTGCAGACTGCAGGCACTCCAGAAAAATCGTTATAACTTAGAAGAATTTCAATATTTTTTAATAATATAAAAATTGTTTTTTAAGCTAAAATATAGTAGAATATCACCTAAAAGTTTCGTTTACCGCAATCATTTCCTTCCCTTTCAAAAAAATTGCTGAAAAAACGCTTTTTTCGGCTTTTAAAGGAGTCTACTGCCTTAAATTCAAATCACGTTTATTTTCAATATTCGACTTCTAATAATATAAAAATTTTAATTTTATTTACTTATATAAACAAAATCGCAAAGTAATTGTCTATAATTTCTTCTCCACTGCAATTACTTTCAATAAACGTGAGATTCGCTGAATAATACGAAAATGCAAATTAAAAATTGATATCTATGATGCAATATAGATTCAATTGTTCATGTAAATATGCATTCCAAAGGTTAACAGCATTGTTCATTAATCAGGTATGATCGGATATGCAGATAAAGAAAATATCTATGTAACTGTAGTTGGAATTTTTCCTTATAAATCATTTCGGTTTGAGTATAAGATAATAAAGTTTCTTGAATTTAAAAATAAAATTCCTGAAAGACATCAACTAAATTTATAACCACATTAAAAATAGATTTAAAAGAAAATAGTAAAAATAGTTGTATATATAATATTTAAAAATCACCTTGGGAATTTTCTTCGTTGAATTACTATTATCAAGAGTGAAAGAAATATTAGATGATGGATAACATAAAGGTGGTCTTGTGCTATCGTCCTCTGAATTTGAATCTTTTACCATAGCCACAATTGCAATATTTATGTCCATTCTCATCATAAAGGAGACGAGAAATCCAGTAAACGACAGCAAATAAAGAACTACACGAGCTGGTATCATGTCTGAAAGATAAGAAACCATGAATAATTTTACACTTTAAATTTAATATATTAAAAACATTCTTTTCATGTGATTTAACTTACCAAATAGTTTACGAATAACGTGCTTGGATGACTGATCACGAATGTCAGGATCCTCGTAACTAAAATTCATTTACGTCACACTGATTACTTAAATTCAATTCTTAACATACAATAGAAATTTAAAAATAAAATATTTCTTTAATTATTTCTCGTAAAAACTATTTTTTTTAAATATTTATTAATTTTCATTATATTCATTAAATAATTTACCTTTGAGATTCTTCCATTTTGTCTATTGAGTGTGATGACTCTCTTCGGAAGAAATTTAAGAATTTTCTACCCACCCAAGATCACCTGGGGTTCTGAAAAAATGAAAATAGAATATTTTAGAATTAAAATTTTACAATTATTAATTATTGTTATTATTATATTTTTTGTTAGTATAAAATTGGGTAGAAATTAAAAATTTGTGATTGTTTATCAACTGATTTGTAAATTAAAGATGCTTTTCTTTAATTTTATTTTAAAAATTAATAATGGTTGAAAATTGGTTGAAAATTAACTGTCATATATAATTAATATAAATAAATATGCGATCTATAAAGAAAATATTTTGATAAAAAGGCAAAAAAATAGTACAATAAAAATTAAGTTCCGATAATGTTAACTTTAAGGAATAAAAGCTCATTTCCTGGAAAAAAATAACTAGTAGGTGTAATGCAATAATATACAATAAGATCAGTTCTTCGGTAAATATCAGTTATATAACAGCTCATTTGAAAAATAATTGCGACAATTAACTCAATTTCCTTGAGAGATTTTTTACAACATATTTATAATAATAAATAAAAATATTGTTAATTTTATTTGTTCTTAAGAATAATTCATGACAATAGTTATCACAATTCCTGAATATTTTTTTTTTCCTATTTTGTTATTTACGGAAACTATTTTTTCATCAAATTATGGAAAAATAAATTTTTCTTATCTGGATATTAATAGAAATATGATAATAGCCTTTATTTTCATACGTGTATATTTTGTCAATAGGATTATTCAGTGAGATATCTCCCCTTAATGACGATATTAAGCATGTCATTTAACAATAATGCAATTTTAAGTTGTTGATGAAAAATTCCAGACGGAAACTCATAAAGGGAGTCTTGAAATTCTTTGGGAAACTAGGCAAAGGGCGGAATATAATTTTCAACTAAAAAGGTCAGAAGTAAATTTAATGCGTCGATTTTCTCACATTTTTTTCTATAATAAAAAAATTTTTCTCTCCTTCTAATGTTTTTTATTTTTAAAAACAATTTTTTGAAATGCCACAAAAAGTGATAAAATAATAATACTTCGACGCAAATCAACGAGAATAAAAATAAAGAAAATTAAGCTAGAAATTTATGATCAAATGAAATTTACATTACTGATGTAAATTAAATAATAATTGTTGCTAGGAAGGAGAGAGAGAAAATAATTGTTATACAATTATTCGAAATTACTAGTTGAATATTTTTTTCAAATTTGTAAGTAGTGTTTATTAATAATATTAATAATACTGATAATAATAAATGATTATTCTTATTAGCATTATATTATTATTAATATAAATATTATTTTGTATTATATTATTGTAAATATTATTATAAATTATTGTTATATAATTATAATAATTGTAATAATAATTAATTATTTAATATTAATTACAATTATCAATAATACAATATATTAAATTAGCAATAATAATTAACATTTATAATAATTCGCTTAACATTTCTATTGCAAATCCATGGAAAAAAAATTTATAATTTGAATCGTTTGTTATTAACAGAATTTAAATTATTAAAAATCTATAATTTTTTAATTAGAAAAAAAAATATTAAAATAGGGAAATAAAAAAAATTAACAGTTAAAAAAAATTTTTTTTTGATGTAAAACGTGTTTATCCTGCATGATAAGAAATTAGAATTAACAAAGTTTAATTACAAATTATAAAATGAAATGTCACATTGTATAAAACAGAGAAATGAATAGTGAACATAACCTTTGAGCTGTGTATAATCAATAATATTGACATTTGCACGTTTTATACGTTTAGTCCAAGCATTACTGTTTCATTTGTAACTGAATTACGGATTTTTATTTACCAAAAATGAACAACACTTGTTTTATTATAGTCATTAATTTTTTAACAAAAAATTTTTTTTCTTTCTATTAAGTCATTAAATATATAAACAAAATTATTATTAGTAATTAGTAATTACCAATTCGATTGGTAAAAATTATCCATAACAATATTAGTTAAAAAATTATTTTTTTTCATATTACTGCAACTATTGCATAACATAACATAAATATCTTTTCAATGGTATTGTTTTATAACATAAATATTTTCTAGAGAAGCGGTGAATTTTTTAAATTAAAAATATAATTTTCAGTTAGAAGAAAACATTTATTTTATATTTAAATTTTTTTTAATAGTGATGGCGAATATGTATAATAAAAGATGCATTTTATTTTTTATTTTATATTTCGTCTATTGTAGAGAAATGTTATAACTAGTATAACTTTTCGATATGTGACATTTCATTATAATATATCTTTAATAATAAATGCAAAATTCACGTTTGCATTGTACTATAAATAATAACCTTCTAGACTAATAGAAAATTTTTCTATGTCATAATATTAGTTTCAATACACAATGAAATTTATGCACATTAATTAACATTAATCATTAATACATCATCAATATTTCAACAGAAAAATTTTTTATCAACAATTTTGCTATTAATAATTTGAAAATTTGATAAATCAGAATAATGTATTCAATGAAATTTACTTTTCGAAAGAAAATATAATTAATTTTTTTAGGGGAAAAAATTATAAAAAATTGCTCGTAATATTTATTGACTATAAAAAATTATTGATGAAGAATATTGAATATTTGACAACTTCATATGATTAATTAATTACCTGAAGTGATAGTTTGTTTACCGATAAATTTAATAATTTTTAATCACACGCGGTTTAAATGTCGGTTATGTATCCATAAACAGTTTTTATAAATAATAAATATTTCCAATTATTATTTTTCTTATTATCCATTATATGAAAAAAAATTTCTCACTTAGTAAACAAACTTTTAATGAAACTTTTTGTTTTTGAGCTGAATAATGAATATCTTAGATTCATGAAACATGTAACACGATCTGACGACAGCGAGCTCAATGAAGACCGATAGAATTGTCCGAACTGAAAATCCATGATATAACGAACCAGTGATGCGATGACTATCATTTAATGTGCCCCACCATATTAGTTATTATGTCTTTCATTATACTCTAGGTCGTGTAATTTTATTCTTTCAAAAAAAAACATTTAGATAATTAATTTATGACACTTTTATTGAATCCAGTTAAATATTATACACTTTTTGGTGATGTAAAGAAAAAATTTATTACATTTCCCTCTTACTTAGAAATTATTTATGCATTCACTATGTCATTACAAGTAATTTGCACTTATACATTGTAAATTTAGTTTGAATATTCTTCTATGCAATTAAAATTCGGTTCTTGTTAAAATTTTAATTAAAAACCAATTTTTTTTCAATTGAGATAAAAATTCATTAAAAGAAAATTTTTGAAAAATTTTGAGAATATAAAACATACCTTTAATTAATAATAAAAAAAAATAAAATATTCATGTCTAAATAATTAATTTTTATTTTAATATTTATGTTAATGAAAAATTTATAATTTTTGGTTAAATTTTAATTTTTGAATTATTTATTTCACTTTAAAGATTTGCATTCACCAGAAATATTTTATCTTAATTTAGAAAATAATTTAAGAGGCAAATCTCCTGGTATTAATAATTTGAATCCCCCCTCTCCACAAACCGCCAACAAATTAATTGAATAAATGTTTTAAAACACATGACAGTATTTGCATGTGGAATTATAAATTAATTAGTATTATATCTCGTGACTTATCCGGTAGCGATCTTATGATGTATCATGATCAATAGATCATAACTCACGAGATAATAATTTCTTTAGTCTCGCCCAATAATAATAAATTGATTGTTACTGCACGTGATAATAATGGTGACCCTTCTAGGCTCTATTTAATTAAACTGATTTATACTTTTCACTTTATGACTAACAATATATTTGTTCAAGTAACACAAAATTTAACACCATCTTTTCTTTCTCTGTTTGGAGTTTTTTTTTTTAAATTCAAACATTAAATTTTTTTTTATTTAAATTTTTTTCAATGTAAATAACTTTTTCGGTAAGAAATTTAACGTATAGGTATTATCTTTCTATACGTGACACTGATAAAAGTATCTTGCATATTTACAATTACTATCATCTGTGAAAAACATTTTATTGTAGAAAAATCATTACAATATTGAATTTTAAAAATCTGACTTTAGATTCGCAATTAGCGTCCTCAAAAACACCCTAATACCAAGTTGCAAGTAAATCCGACTAATTTGAAAAATAAGTCCGCCATATTGGATCCGCCATTTTGAATTTTAAAAATCTGACCTTCCGCAAAGATTATAGAGATTTTATTGGAGTTGTCTTTTTTTATCCATTCCTGTGGATAAAATACTTTTATTATGATTTCGAATTGACTTTGACATCAAATTAATTTTAATTTGAAATTCAAATTGACATGGCAGACAAATTCATTTAGATTTAGAATTGATTTTGACGCCAAATTAATTTTTCAGTAACTTGTAATTCAATATCAAAATGAATTTGGTGCCAAAGTTAATTTAAATTATAATTAAAAAGAATTTCACGTCAAAGTTAATTCGAATTCAAAATCAAATTGCGTATTTGACCTCCAGGAATGTTTTAAGTTTAGAAAGTATGGTTAGCATAAAATGGAGATGCTCCTCGTAGCCCGACAGCAAGCGGACTGAGAATCAGTAGGCAGGCATTGATTTATATATCGAGTACATAAGGTGGAGGGGGAAAAGAGTGGGGGTTGCCAGGAATTCGATTTTGATCCATGTAATTAATAACCTGAAACTAAGCATTAGCTTTAGCCTTTCCTCTACAGATGGTTCAACCTAAGGTACTAAAAAGTGTAATAGATAAGATTTTTTTGCCATAGGATCTTTAGTTATAACTTTGTAGAATCTTGATGCTTCTAGGACTCTTTAGATTTCTTCTCAAAAACTCATAACTCTTTGCTGTAATTTTTATGCCACTTTCTTAATGTAGAAGTGCTAGCAGCATTATTATGGCACCGGAAAGATTCATCATTAAAATTTTGCATCAAAAAGATATTTCTATCCACTGAAACTTAATAACTTATGCTTAAAATGCAAACATGAAAGT